ACAACGGGTACAGCGGATGCAGTATACCACATTGGCAGATGTGCAGGTGAACATCTGCTTGATGTGGAAAGTCTTCTTGGGGCCTGGGATGGGGGTGAGGGAGGAGGTATGGGGGCAGGTGTAGCACTTCCTGCGGTTGCAGGGAAAAGTGCCGGGTGTGGTGGAGCTGGAGGGGAGTGTGGAGCGGACAAGGGAGTCATGGAGAGAGTGGTCCCTCCGGAAAGTAGATAAGGGTGGGGAGGGAAAGATGTCTTTGGTGGTGGGGTCGGATTGCAGATGGCGGAAGTGTCGGAGGATGATGCGTTGGATCCGGAGGTTGGTGGGGTGGTACGTGAGGACGAGGGGGATTCTTTTTTGGTTCTTATTGCGTGGACGGGGTGTGAGGGATGAGTTGCGGGAGATGTGGGAGACACGGTTGAGGGCGTTCTCAACCACTGAGGGGGGGAAGTTACGGTCCTTGAAAAACGAGGACAACTGAGATGTACGGGAGTGGAATGCCTCATCCTGGGAGCAGATGCGGCAGAGGCGAAGGAATTGGGAATAGGGGATAGCATTTTTGCAGGAAGGTGGGTGGGAGGAGGAGTATTCTAGGTAGCTGTGGGGAGTCAGTGGGCTTGAAATGAATATCGGTTTCTAGGTGGTTGCCCGATATGGAGACAGAGGGGTCCAGGAAGGGGAGAGAGGTGTTAGAGATGGTCCAGGTAAACTTAAGGTTGGGGTGGAAGGTGTTAGTGAAGTGGATGAACTGTTCGAGCTCCTCGTGGGAGCACGAGGCGGCGCCGATACAGTCATCAATGTAACGGAGGAAGAGGTGGGGTTTAGGGCTGGTGTAGGTACGGAAGAGGGATTGTTCCACGTAACCTACAAAGAGGCAGGCGTAGCTTGGGCCCGTGCGGGTACCCATGGCTACCCCCTTTGCCTGTAGGAAGTGGGAGGAATTGAAAGAGAAGTTGTTGAGGGTGAGGACGAGTTCGGCTAAGCGGATGAGGGTGTCAGTGGAGGGGGACTGGTCGGGCCTGAGGAGGGCCTTAAGGCCATCTGCATGGGGAATGCAGGTGTAGAGGGACTGGACGTCCATGGTAGAGATGAGGTGTTGGGGACCGGGGAATTGGAAGTTCTGGAGGAGGTGGAGGGCGTGGATGGTGTCACGGACATAGGTGGGGAGTTCCTGGACCAAGGGGGAGAAAATGGAGTCCAGATAGTTGGATTTCACAAGTTTCAAAATCTCCCTTCCCCCTACCGCATCCCAAAACCAGTCCAGCTCGTCCCTGCCTCCCTAACCTGTTCTTCCTCCCACCTCAAGCCGCACTTCCATCTCCTATCGACTAACCTCATCCCGCCCCCTTGACCTGTCCGTCCTCCCTGGACTGACCTATCCCCTCCCTAACTCCCTACCTACACTCACCTTTATTGGCCCCATCCCCGCCTCTTCGACCCGTTTGTTTCCTCTCCACCTATCCTCTCCTCTATCCATCTTCTATCCGCCTCCCACTCTCTGCCTATTTATTTCAGAACCCCCTTCCCCTCCCCCTTTTCTGATGAAGGGTCTAGGCCCGAAACGTCAGCCTCTCTGCTCCTATGATGCTGCTTGACCTGTGTTCATCCAGCCCTGCACCTTGTTGTCTTGCAATGTTTTCAAGTTTGCTGACAGCACAAAACTAGATGCGATTGTGAGTTGTGAGGAGGGAAGCAAGAAAGTTTGTATGATCAAGAGAGACAGTATGAACTGCCGATGCTAAAGTCTGAGATACAAGGTGTAGAGCTGGATGAACACAGCAGGCCAGGCAGCATCCGAGGAGCAGGAAAGCTGGCGTTTAGGTTCTGGACCCTTCTTTGGGTCCAGACCCGAAACGTCAGCTTTCCTGCTCTTCTGATGCTGCCTGGCCTTCAGTGTGATCAAGACAGGTTGAGTGTGAAACATACGGCTCATGCAATGTAATGTGAATAAATGTGAAATTATGTTGTTTGGTGTGGTGTGAAAAAAAAACAAAATGGCAGAGCCTTATTTAAATGGTGATTAAATTGGCAAATGTGGCTGTACAAAGGGATCTGTGGTTCCTTGTACACCAGTCAACGAAAATAGACAGCAAGTGTCGCAAACTATAAGGAAGACAAATGATAGGTTATCCTTTGCTATAAGCGGATTTGAGTTCAGAAGTAGGGATGCCTTCCTGCAATTTTACAGGGTCTTGGTGATACAATCTGGATGAAGGAACTGAGGGCATTGTTGCTACGTTTGAATGTGTCACAAAGATAGGTGGAGGGGCAGATACTGTTGAGGAAGTGGGGAGGATGCAGAAGGACTTGGATAGGTTAGGAGAATGGGAAAAGAAGTGGCAGATGGAATACAATGTGAGAAAGTATGAGGTTATGCACTTGGTTAGAGTAGAGGCATGGACTATTTTCTTAATGGAGAAAGGCTTCGGAAATCTGAACTGGGACTCCAGAGCCCCTTTAAGTTTCAAGATTCTGTTAAGATTAACATGCAGGTTCATTTGGTAGTTAGAAAGGCAAATGCAATGTTAGCATTCATTTTGAGATGGCTAGAATACACAAACAGACTTCTGTACTGTAATATTGCTGTGATTCCATTATTACGTGCCTCTAGAACAGGTGGGACTTGAGCCCTGGACCTCCTGGTCCAAAGGTAGGGACGCTACCACTGTGCCTCAAGAAGCCTGTGTTTCTGTGTGTAAGATGAGGTGCATATCAGGATCAGCTGTGATACCCCTTACAGTTAAATATCTTGTCTAAACTTATTTAAAAATCAATCATGTACCAGCTTTCAGAGAGTCATAAGATAAAAGCAAAATGCAGATGCTGGAAATCTTAAATAAAAACAAAACGGTGGATATATTCAACCAATTTGGCAGCATCTGAAATGACCATTCATCTGAATTTCTTTTGAAAGTAATGAATGTTGTTAGAAAGTGTGTGGGGAAAATCAGTAGGAAAATTTATTTTTAAGAAGTACCCTAAATATAAAGGAGGTATGGGATAAAAGATTATGACCTGTTGCTGGCTGATCTCGTGTGGCATTACACAGGGAAAGTCAAGAGAGGGGTCTTGGATGACATGGAGGGTGGGGTATAATCGAATCAGGGCACACAGATATATCTTAATTGTCATGTTAAAACTATCACCTCTATCCTTTTAATTGTAAGGAACAATACAAAATCAAATAAAAAATAATTCACCACAGTCTGGGAAACGTATGGTTGGTGGAAATGCATATAATTGTCTGTTGACTGAGGAACTGAAGTACTACATTGATTACCACTTCCTGTAGAGTATAAGTATAGCAAGTGTTTCATTAACCGACAGCTAAGGGACCAAGAATGTACCAGTTGACCAAATATTCTGGTTGATAGAGGTCTAAATAATCAATGTAAAAACCCATTCTAAGTAATAGAAAAGTAATATGGGGCGGTATAAACATCACTGTTATACTTTATTTAGAGCAAATATCACTTAAATAACAACTTTAATAAAACCAGCAAGACAGCCTTCTCACTACTTGGACATAGTGAAGGTAGCGATAATACAGTAAACTGCTGGTATTTGAGGTATATATTTTGTTGCCGGTTTACTGACAGCGTTGGTTCATTAGGTGCTAGTTAAAACAAAATTTGCTGCACATTAAGTTTACGTCAGCAGCTTTATCGTGAATGTGTAAATCAGAATTTGTATTGAGCAGCAGTTGACTTAGACATATGAGACAGTTTTGCAATTAAGGAATCCATTAGATGGAGGTGTTAGTCAGAATTGATTATTTGATCCTTCAATTGAAATAGGAGGAGTATCACAAAGTGCATAATATTTATAGTTCACAAGCTGGCCATTGGCCCAACGTCTGAGCTCCACGTCAACCATCCCCTATTGTTCTTCATCCAGCCTCCCAGCAAAGCCTTATGTTTCTTTCTCCTGCATGCATTTATCTAATTTCCCCTTAAATAGTTCTATGTTGATTTGAACTTCTTGTAGCAACAAGTTGCTCTTTGAAACTAATCCCTGGGAAGAAACAGTTTCTTTGGAATTCTCCATTGAATTTATTATTGAATATCTTATCTTATTTATGACTCTTAACCATTTAACTGAGAGAATCTCCTCACGCACAAGCATGCTCCCTGTTCTTTTTTTCTCGCTAGCTCCCTCCATTGCTTCCTAGACACTTTCTGCTCTTCCTGTGTGACTGTAATCCTGATTCGATTGCCCTCAAAATGTGAACAGTATTCACTGTGTCTGCAGGGAACAGGGCTACGCTTTCTGGACACGATGAGCTTGCACATGGCTATTTCTGGTCTGACTGGCTTCCAGCGCAGCCTTTGGATGGCGAGTAAAAAAGGGAAGAGGAGGGGCCTGGAAGAAGTAAAGCAGCACATCAAACGAACAACCAACAAACCTAGAAACATGGGGGTAAGCAGCACAGAATAACTTTACATTATTCGACTTTAAAATTAAAGGCAAAAATAATCAATAATTGGGGGCAATAGATAAAGTAAAAGAAAAAGGAACCGCAATGTTAAACTTGAAAGGGTTCATAAATGATTTACAAGGATGTTGCCAGGGTCGGAGGGTTTGAGCTATAGAGAGAGGCTGAATAGGCTGGCGCTATTTTCCCTGGAGCGTCGGAGGCTGAAAGGTGACCTTTATAGAATTTTTTTAAATCATGAGGAGCATGGATTGGGTAAATAGTCAAGGCCTTTTCCCTAGAGTAGGGGAGTCCAAAACTAGAGGGCATTTAAGGTGAGAGGGGAAAGGTTTAAAAGGGACCTAAGGGGCAACTTTTTCATACAGAGGGTGGTGCGTGTATGGACTGAGCTGCCAGAGGAGGTGGCGGAGACTGGTACAATTACAACATTTAAAAGGCATCCAGATGGGTATATGAATAGGAAGGTTTAAAGGGATATGGGCCAAATGCTGGCAAATGGGACTAGAGTAATTTAGGGTATCTGGTCAGCATGAACGATTTGGGCCAAATGGTCTGTTTCTGTGCTGTACTTGCTATGACTGTGACCGTATAACTCTCAGCACTACGTCAAAAACTGAACATTGTGCAGACAGCTATAATGTCCAAGAATATTTAGACCCTCCTGTATCTCCCAGGTGACACATCTCCCTTTCTGTAGAATGTCCTGTTTTTTTCGACTTTGTGCCTTTTTTGAGGGATAGTTCGATATGTTTCTGCACTTTGTACAAGTACTTTTCTTTTTAAAGATGTGTTTCCTTTGTATTATCCTCTCTTTATTTAGAGGGCAGATGTAAGCATAAAAGTAAAGTTGTCGTAGTCTTAATGAATCATGTAGCTGCTCTCTCATTAGAGAGAGATGACTGGTGGTGGTTTACTCTGACAGTCACCACACCTCAGGCGAGGGGAGAGATTGAGAAGGACGGCCCTTCACAGTAACTTCAGCCAGTGCAGGAATTGAAACACGCTGTATTGCAAGCCAACCGTCTAGCCAACTGACTTAACTGACCTGCAAAGGCAAGTGTGTGCCTGTTTCAGATTACTGGTGTCACTGCCTTCTGGTGACAGTGGCCGGAGCCACTCAATGCCTTCCGATACCTTCACTCTCTGCTGGAGTTACTGTGAGCTCTGTTATCACCTTCACGTGGGATGGCATTCTGATTGAACTCCGTCTGTGGCATTAAACATTCCAAGGCTTATGTGGATGCTACATTCACATGTGGGCTGGGTGGAGAATACATATCATCATGAAATGATTCCAAGCCCCATTTCTGCAGCTGTAAAGGGTACCCTGAGGAGGAACATGGTCTGAAGGTCCATAGACAGCATTTTATCATGGCAAGACATTTGAGTCTTTTAAGTGGCCTTCATAAGGGAGTCAACTTCAGGAACTCCATAATCTAGTAGTATTTGTGCTTGCAAATTAGAGAGAAGGACGTAAATGAATATTGATGTGGAAACCACACCATCTGTCTTGCCCACAATGCATGAACAACTAAAACAAAATATATAAATGGGCCTTGAACACCCTGATTGACATCCATTAATCCTATGCTTTAGTCACCATGAAGCTTGGTGGGATTAATAATCAAAGATTGGATTGGAATTTGCTCAACATTGTCCCACTGTTGTTGCAGGTTGGAGCCTGGGACTGGGTGAACATCAGCAGCATTAATAACCTCCCTGATGTCCACGCACTCTATGTGGGAGGCAGAACTCTTGAGAAGGAGTCTCGTGAGCTTTTCATCAATGGCACAATGAAAGATATTCGGGAGAACTTCCAGGTTTAACAACACATGGTCAATTGATTACTGTCTTGCTCTATAGCAGAACATGCACCTTAACAAAGTATCCAAAAAAAATTACTGTTTTTAAGTTATAAATTAATTTATAAATGCCATTAATTAAAAATCTCATCCTTGTTTTCAGATACCTTCATGGCCTCATTTGTTCCTATTGCTGTAATCTCCTTCAGCCTTCCAAAGTCCTTTTAGGGAACGAAGTCTGCCCTACGTGTAACTCCAAACATGTAACAATCTGGTTGACTTTTCACTGCCTCAGTAATGGCTGAGCAAACCATGCAGTTTAAGGGCAATTAGAGATGGACAGCATATTTGTCTTTTTCCGCAACTCCTATATACCGTAAAGGAATAAAGGCAATTCCTTTTGTTATCTTCCAATTCTGGCTCCTTGAGCATTCACAATTTTGATTTTAACAGTTTGTGGCCTTGCCCTCTGCTGCCAAGGCATTTACTAAATTCTGGAATTCCTCTCTAAGTCTCCCTTTCCTACTTTAAGACTCTAAGATCTACCCCTCTCACCAAACTTTCAGGTATTGCTACCTTTTGGTAATGCACCTGTGAAATCTCTTAGGGTGTTTTGCTGCATTAAAAGTGAAATGTGAATTCAACATGTTTTTTTTAACTTATTCATTTGTGGGATGTGGGTGTCACTGGCTGGCCAGCATTTATTGCCTGTCCTTAGTTGCCCTTGAGAAGTTGGTGCTGTCTTCTTGATCCGCTGCTGTGGGATGAACCACAATGCCATTAGGGAGGGAATTCCAGGAAAGTTGGAATAGTGAGTGGTTTGGTGGGGAATGTGAAGGTGGTGGCATGTATCTGCTGCCCTTGTCCTTCTAGATGGAAGTGGTTGTGGGTTTGGAAGGTGCTGTCTGAGGATCCTTGGTGAATTTCTGCAGTGCGTCTTGATAGTACAAGATAGTACACACTGCTGCGTCAATGGTGGAGGGAATGGATGCTTGAATCAAAATCTTCTGACATTTATAGACATATGTCTACATTGTTGGAAATGATCTCTTCTGTGTCAGCTTTCACTAAGTTTTACTTCTTTGTCATATTTAAGATGGCAATAAAAGACTTGGAAAGAAAACATGTTTTGAGATAATTTCACTCTGGCAATCCACTAAATCCTGACTGCTGTATTTCTCCATTGGACTGATAAAGGAAAGGCATTACCTTGCATCCCACAACTGGCTTCTTTGAAAACAACAGCAGATCACAGCTTCAGAATGCTCATGATGTCTGCACTTACTATGTAAATGCTGCTACCTAGTGACCACGAGGACACCTGTAGTCACCAAATGTTCTCCATAAGATGGAGGGAAAGTCATTGATGAAGCAGATGAAGGTGGTTTGTGCTGAGGATACACCCTAAGGAACTTGTGCAGAGATATCTTGAGACTGAAATGTTTAAGCTCCAGCAACTATAGCCATCACCCTTTGTGCTAGATCTGAGAGCTGTCCCCTGACTTCCACTTACACAGGTGCTCCTAGTTGCTATACTCTACCAAAATGCTATCTTCATGTCAAGTGTAGTCACTTACATGTCACCTCTGGAGTTTGACTCTTTTTTGTTTACAAAATGACCAAGCAGTAATGAGGTAAGAAGCTTGGTGACTCTGCCAAAACCCAAACTGAGCATCAGTGAGCAGGTTATTTCTGAGCAAGTGCTGCTTGCTAGCACTATCCATGACCCCTTCTATAACTTTGCTGATGATTGAGAGCAGACTAATAGAGCCGTCATTGATTTGTCCAGGTTCTTTAGGATAGGGTATAGCTAGCCAAACTTCCAAATTGCTAAGTAGATGTCAGTGTTGTAACTGCAGTGGAACGACTTGGCCAAGGGTACTGTGAATTCTGGATCACAGATGTTCAGTATTGTTGACAGAATATTATTAGGCACCAAAATCTATAAAATATCCAGTGCATCCAGCCGTTTCTTACTAGCAAATGGAGTGAATCGTATTCACTGAAGACTGACATCTGTGATGCTGGGGACCTTAGCAGAAGGCAGAGATGGATCATCTGTTCTGCATGTCTGGCTCAAGATGAAAGCAAATGCTGTCACCTTAGTTTTTTGCAATGATTGTCCTGGGCTGTTCCATCATTGGGGATATTTGTGGTTCTGCCTTCTGTTAATTGGTAAACTGTCCACCACTGTTCACTGCTGTATGTGGCAGAACTGCAGAACTTAGGTATGATTCATTGGCTGTGGAGTTGCTTAGTCTTATTGCATGCTGTTTGCTCTGTTTGGCTCACATGTAGTCCTGTATTGTAGCTTCACCATAACCTGGGCCTTTGGCTTCCTAGTCCATTGACATTACCATGACAACACCATCTTGAGAAATGGATTATTTTTAACCATAAATCTCATATCTTCATGGCAGGAAATATATTCTCGGCTGATGGTGCTTTCCTAGAGTCAGTTTTTTTTTAAAACAAAGCTTTTCAAATCTAGATCTACCTTCGAAAACTGTAACCAATCACAAAGCATTGTAACTGATGCCCTGTTAACTTGGCTTGGTAGGTGACATTCTCTACTGTGGTTTAGCACTCCCATTCCTGGACATAGTGTGGGATGGTGCTTCATTTCAGTGCTGAGGGAGTGTCACTGTCTGAGCTGCTGCCCTTCAAATGGAATGTCAAACTTAAGTGTTGTTTGCCTCTTCAGATAGATATTACTGATGCTTTAGCATTAAGAACAGGGACTTCTACCAGCATTTTGGCCAACGTTCCTTCCTCGATCAACAGTTTTTTTTTTTGCTATTTGCATCTTTGTCATATTTACAATCACTGTACTCCATCATAATCAGTTATAGTGCTTTGTCTGAGATGTGATAAATGATTATGTTTTAATCTGTTTTTTGAATCCCTAGCTTAAGTGTTCCACAAAGAAAACATAGGCAGCCAATTTACCTTCTACTAGAACTGCTTTGCTTTAAATGTCTAGCTCTGTGTTTAATATTCCAGTGTAATTTTTCTTATTCACTATGACAGGAGCTGATGCGATACTGTGCAAATGATGTTAAAGCTACTTATGAGGTGTTTTGTGAGGAGCTGCCGCTGTTTCTAAAAAGGTGGGTCACCTTTTATGAATGACTGCCTGTTCTCGTTCTTGCTTCCCTCTTTGATCACTGAAATAGAATGGGCCAGCTACAGAGCAATAGACCAGAGCATCACCCTACACCCCTATGTAACATCTGCTGAAAAAATGATATCAAAAAGAACAGTAAAAACGTCACCCTATCTTTGGACTGAGAGACACAGGTACTGGATTCAATTCCCAATCAACTTCAGAGATAACAAGGTGTAGAGCTGGATGAACACAGCAGGCCAAGCAGCATCAGAGGAGCAGGAAGGCTGACGTTTCGGGCCTAGACCCTTCGATCAACTTCAGTTTATTTCTGTAGGATTTTGTGAGAGGCATGCCATTAGGCTCCCCCTCTAATGTTTGGAAGGGGAAGTATTGGCCAGCAATCCTGCTCCCAAACACCGCCATCCAGGACTCGCTGCTCGAACCTTCTTGCATTTGGACGATAACTGGTTGGCGATGATTCTCTGTTTGCTGTTTCAGTTTGACTTTGGGTGGGGTGGGGTAAAGTATTTATGGGCTGCTGCCTAATGAATATGAAAAGAGGGCCCTATCTGTCTCAAATGTTACTATCTATTAGAGAAGCTGTCTCTTTCTTACACAGCTTGCCATTTAAATGAATTGATAGTATAGAGAAAATGGTTGGTCTCCCCTTACTGTGCACTGAAAGGGGATGTCATCCATTTCATCGTGGGATGTGGAGGTTCCTGGCTGGCCAGCATTCATTGTCTGCCCCTAGCTCTCCTTGATCCGAGTGGTTTGCTCGGCCGTTTCAGAGGGCAATTGAGAGTCAATCACCTTGCTGTGGGTCTGGATCCATATGTAGGCCAGACAGGTGGTGATAGCAGATTTCCTTCCCTGAAGGACATTAGTAAACAAGATGAGTTTTTCTGACAATCGGCAATGGTTTCATGGTCATCAGTGGATTCTTAATTCCAGTTTCTTTTTTACTATTGAATTCAGATTCCACCATCTGCCATGATAGGATTTGAACCTGGGTACCCAGAGCTGAATTTCTGAATTAATAGTTCAACGATAATACCAATAGGCCAGTGCCTCTCTATGTTCATGGTCCATGTCCTTATTCCTGTTCCAGGACAGTTTCTTGGCAATCCCGTTAACAAGTTTTTAAAAAAAACGAGCCACAAATGTCAATAACTAGAGTTGCAGTGAAGGTCACTTGCTGGGTAGTGAACTCACTCTGTGCCACCTAGAGCACTAACTGTACCTTCTGCTTCCTGGTTAGATGCCCACACCCAGTGACTTTTTCTGGCATGCTAGAGATGGGACAGTGCTACCTTCCTGTCAACCACAACTGGAAGCGATACCAGGATGAGGCACAGGGTACATATGAAGAGCTGCAACGGGAGATGAAACAGTCCCTCATGAACCTGGCCAATGATGCCTGCCAGCTACTCCACGATGAAAGGTGGGTTACTTTATTTTCAAGATTTGCTTAAAAAAAAATGCAGCAAATGCGGGGTGGCATGGTGGCTCAGTGGTTAGCACTGCTGCCTCACAGCGCCAGCAACCTGGGTTCGATTCCACCCTTGGGCGACTGTCTGTGTGGAGTTTGCACATTCTCCCTGTTTCTGTGTGCGTTTCTTCCGGGTGCTCCTGTTTCCTCCCACAGTCCAAAGATGTACAGGTTAGGTGGATTGGCCATGCTAAATTGCCCGTAGTGTTCAGGGATGTGTAGTTTAGGTCGGTTACAGGGGAATGGGTCTGAGGTTCGGTGTGGACTTGTTGGGCTGAAGGGCCTGTTTCCACTCTGTAGGGATTCTATGATTCAAAGTAGTGGGACTCCTGTATTGCTTAGCATCTAATTTAGACGGTTACTTAGGAGCATCAGTGAGGAGAGGGCTGTATTATTGGAAGTGGCATCTTTGGAATGAGCTGTTCAGCTGAGTCTCTTTCCATCTGTGCAGGTGGATGTAGAGATCCCACGGTACCATTTAATAAGGAACCTTGAAGTGAGCTCACCCCATCTCCTGGCCATTGTGCTTCCCTCAATCAATGTAGCCAACTGGGTGAACCGGTCATCCAGCCAATTTTAGAACTGTACCCCTTTGAGATTAAGTTTGGCTAAGTAATGGCAGTCACTGCACTTCAGAGCCCTTCACTGTGTGAAGCCTGCTTTGAGATGCAGAATTGAGCTTAACTGCCAACCCACACAGTACTTGTCTGCGTTTCCTTTACATTTGCCAACTAATTGGCGATCCTTGCGAAAGTCAGAATCACTAGTGACTGTGTGGTTTTACAAGCATTCAAAGCAGAATCGCACAGATCACTTTCATTAAGAAATAAAAGATGCACATTCCACTTTGGGACCAGAGGCTGCGATATTGTTCTGAGTGAGAGCCCTCGTACAAACAGTGGGATGGCTCTTTCCCGTTGCTGTGTTTATTTGGCTGATGGGTGAGGCAAGTCTTGCAGTCATTATGCGTCTGTTCAGTGTCTTCCTGATTTTCAGGTACAAAGATGACCCCTGGTTGTGGGACCTAGAATGGGGTACCCAAGAATTTAAACAGAAGAAGGACACTAAGAAAAAGAAAGAAGAGTTGGTCAGCACCGGTGAAGTAGCAAATTCCAGCCTAACATCAGAGTTTGAGGAAGGTCAGATGATTTTTTTTATTAAGTCACTGTCTGCACTTGTGTATGATGCATCTTGTCTGCTACCTGAATCCGGTTATTAAAGATACTAATTCTAGATCCAACATATTCAGTGTAGAGTGCACCTTGATGAGATTTGATGAGAATTAGACAGCAACTGTGGTTGGAGGCTCTCGTCTGCTTCTTTGCTCGAAAAGACTCGAACAGAATGAGGTTGTCTGATCAGATTTATCAACATTCCAGTACAAAAATTAAACCTTTGTTCCTATGGCATTATAAATGAACACATAACATCGCTGCACCAATCTTTATGATATTGTCGCCAGGTGTCCTTTTCTAAATGGCCATCTGAAGCCTTGTCTAATCAACATTTCAAAGTGAAGCACTTAAAAAAGGGAGGAAATTTTCTTGCATGTCGAGCATAGGCTCCAAGTGCACTGTTTTGTACATTTTCCCTGAAAACTTTACGATGTTGAAATGAAGACTCTTCACACTATCTTCTCTTCTTGCTCTTTCCCAGGGTCCTTAAACTACGTTTAAGCTGTAGTTAACTTAATATTCCTGTTCTCCTGTAATCGAAAGACTTTTAAAACCCAAGTTTGGAATTATCTAACCAATTTCACCTCCCCTTCTTTGTTGCAGCATGAAGCTTTGGTCTTTGACATAGGTGCCAGCATAATTAGGAATCAAGTTTTTAGTCACTTGTCCTAGTGTCTCCAATTTAATTTCAAGTTCAATTTTTGTCTGACTCTCCTCCTGTGAAGCTCCTTGGGATGCCTCCCCTTGTTAAAAGGCATTATATAGGTACTGATTGTTATTGTTGAATCATGGAATACTTCATTTGCGTAAAGCAACACTAACTATAGTTATTGTGTCTTCAGTTAACGCTAGTGAAGATTTGTTCATCCCTCTCATCCCTATCCTTCTGTTCTCTGCTGTATACCTCCACTTGTGATGCTCAGTGACTGGATATGTTAAAAATAGAGTCCACTGTGGGATGGAATTTGGTCTGCGTTGAGTTAGACCTTTGTTACCCAATTCGAATATGTTAAAGAGCCAACCTTGGCTCCCTGGTAACATTCCTTCCTCTGTCAGAGGACCACCGGATTCAAGTCCCATTCCAATGACCTTAGCCCTCGAGTCTGATCTGCTCCCTCAGGTAGATATAAAAGATCTTCTGTGCCCTTTTGAAGGGAAAGAGGGGATTTCTCCCAGTATTTACTCCAATATGTATCCCTCAAACAAGATCTTTAAAAAGGATTGTTTGATTGCTGCCTTATTGATCTCAGTGGGATCTTGCAATGTTCAAATTTGCCATCACACTTCTTTCCAGCTGTGACTAAACAATAAAAGTCCACAGTGAAATACTGTATAAATGCAAGTTTGATGTTTCTTACTGTTTGCTAATGGAGCATACTTGAAACATGCTATTCTTCATTGGCAGTTTAGGTATGATGGACTTTGTCTGATGTTGTATTTATTGTCTTGCAGATCCAGGGCCTCCGTCAGAAGACCGAAACGAAGAAGAGGTGAAGGCTGCCAAAAGTAGAGCCCTTCTGAATGATCTTCATCAGACAGTCAGTCTTCTTCCAAAGAGAAGACAGCATTTACCAGGCCATCCAGGGTTCGTACATTCGAAAACACATTCCTGTTCAATAGCTTCACTGATGGCTTAATGACAACTGGGGGATTGAAAGTTGAATCTCAGTGAGTTGGCTGATATTGGACTCTATGCTTGTTGTTGGTGTTCATGTCCCTGGGATAGGAAGGGGGAGAAAGGAGCCGGGTTACCTCACCCTTGTTAGAAAGTGCAACTTTGTGGAAACTGGTTGCTGTTCAGAGTCCTACCTGGCTGTGACATCACAGACACTAATTTCATGAGGCCCATACAGGAAGAGCGAACATTTGAGGAAAGCAACAGACGGTTATTACCCTCCATAACCTTGTGAACCAGCAAGGGTGAACATTGAAAATTTATGTTGAATTTAGTCAGAATTGAGCTGAACAGCCTAGTTAGCTAAGCAATCCAGACACAAGGTTGCACAGGAAACTACTGACAGAGATTTGTGAACTGTTGAATCCATTTCCTTGCTGTGCTGTTGCAGATGGTACCGGAAACTGTGCCCAAAGTGGAATGATCCACAATGGCTGCCAGGGCCCAGCCTCATTAGTCTCCAGATGAGGGTCACTCCAAAGCTGATGCGTTTGACCTGGGATGGATTCCCGTTGCACTATTCAGAGAGCCATGGGTGGGGCTATCTGGTCCCAGGAAGAAAGGACAATCTACTTGCTAACCCCAGTGACACAGATGCACCTTCTTGCCCGTACAGGTAAATAAATTTTATCCATCATAGTCATAAGCATTTCCCCCTCTGACTGGAGTGTGCTCATAGAACGGTACAGCACAGGAACGGGCCCTTCGGCCGACAATGTTATGCTGAACATGACGACAAATTAAACTAATCCCTTCTGCCTTCCCTTGGTCCGTATTCCTCCATTCCTTGCATATTCATGTGCTTTTCTAAAATCCCATAAAGCCCCTATCGTATCTGTCTCCTCCACCACCACCCAGGCAGCGCGTCCCAGATTCTAACCACTCTCTGTGTAAAAACAAAAACTTATCCCTCACATCTCCTTTGAACTTTTCCCCCCTCTCACCTTAAATGTATGCTCCCTAGTTTTAGACATTTCAACTCTGGGGAAAAGATTCTGACTGTCAATCCTATCTGTGCATCTCGCTTCAGCCTTTGCAGCACCAGAGAAAACAACCGGAGTTGTTGTTTTTTTTAAGCCTCTCCTCACAGTTCATAGCCTCTATTTCAGGCAGCAGCCTGATAAACGTCTTCTGCACCCTCTCCAAAGCCTCCACATCCTCCCTTTAATGTGGTGACCAAAGTTGCGCACAATACTCTAAGTGTGGCCTAACCAAAGCCTTATAAAGCTGCAACACGACATCCTGACCCTTATACCCAATACAATGTACTCAATGCTCAACAATCAAATGGCTTTATTTCTTGATTATACTTAAAGCAGTTTCCTGATTGGTTGGCAGTGCCAACCACTGTGATATTGGGTCAAACTGAGCAAAATAATCCATTTCCAATCTCCTGAACTAACTAATTAAAATGGCCTTGAGTCAGTTAGAGTGCTTATTCATGATGAACATGTATTAACTGTGGTCTAGGCTCACAATGGTCTCTACAAGGAGGGAAATGTGAAGACACTCAACAGTTGGGCTAATTGCAGTCTATAAAGTCCATCAGATGCATTTCGAACCAGCCATACCTTTGTTGCCCCTGAGCTTGAGTGTTCCATGTGGCTGACTTCTCATCTTTCACACTTCATAAAGCTTGTCCAAAATTCTGCAGCCTGTAGCCATGACCTGCACCAAGGCCTAACTTCACCCGTTCTCAGTTGAGCAATGACTTGTCCCCTCCCCATCTCTCTTAATGTCCTGTGCCCTAGCTGCTGTGCCCCTTCTCATCTGGTCTTGCATGCATCCCCTAGTTTATTTGTTTCATCATTTTAATGGCTGTGCCTTCAACTGCCTGGGCATGAACTCTGGAATTCTTCATCTAAGACTCTCCAATTCTCCAGCTCTCTCTCCTGCTTCTTTAAGTATCTCCTTAAATGATGGCCAAACAGTTGGACAATAGCTATCTGTTCTAATTGCTCCTAATGTGGCAGTTTAGGTTTTGTTTGTTAAAAGTCCTACATAGAAGTTTGGGCTGGTTTACTACAATAAAGGCACCATGAAACTGCAGACTTTTGTTATGGGTAGCATATTCATACGTAAATTTTACGTCTTGTTATAACACTCCCCTACACATTACCACCCCATGACAGAGCCCTAACCAGAACATGAATCTTGATTATGTTCTTGTGACTACTCCTAGATGAGTGGTGTGTTTCCAGCATTGTTTTATTACTGACGTACAACGGTGGTGATGCAGACAGGGTATTCTTTCTATCTTACCTTTTGCTCTTTCTTTGGCAGAACCATTGAGATATTGCACCAGGAATATTGTAAAAAGAAATCACCAGGACAAACTGACGAATCAGAGGTGTCAGTCAGCGATGAGTTCATGCTGACAGAGAATAGCATGTGGGAAATGGTGAGAGTTGCTTAAAGTTAGTTTTGTTTTATAATTTGATCTTCCTTTCTGTGGCATACCATATGAATGTAAAGAATTGTTGGACAGGAAATGACCATCTGGCTTGTCCTACTTTGTTGTGATATCTGGTTTAGTACTGTTCCAAAGTACGTTTATCATTGGATACGGAGCCAAGGTAAATTTGAGGTGCAGATCTGGCAAAATCTGATCCATTGCATACTCCTATTCCTCTGTAGTCACCTGTAAAAGTCAGTAAGGCAGATCAAAGACCTTAGTCATTTGGAACTCCATAATGAAATGTTCCACATTTTATACACAAAACCGAAATTGCGTATGTTCTGGTTTAAAGAGGCCAAGTTCAGTTGTTGTCTCATGTTATAATTGATCTTGGTTCAGGCAACAGGAAGTATTTCATAGTTAGTTTGTGTCCCAGCAGTCAGTATGGAACAAATCAGAAATGATAAAAGCAAAATGCTGCAGATGTTGGTCCCACGACAAAGGAGTAATGATATTACAGAGCAAATTACTGGAATCTGTACTGAAAACAAAAAGATCACTGCGGGTCAGGCAGCATCTGTGGAGATGATATTAGAGTTTTGTTAAAAAAAGGCTTTAAAAAGTCACATGATAATACAGCTGCAAGGTTTAACAACCTAGTAAGCCTTCTCTGAACTGCCTCCAATGCCAGTACATCTTTCCGCCTAAATGGTTTCTATATTATCCAACCCTGGATCGTTTCATGCTTTTGTACTTCTTCATCTTGTACTAACAAAGCTACCCTCATCATCCTTCCCTTCCTGCCTGTTCTTTCAATAGGTCACACACTCATGAAAGTTTAGTTCCCAGCTTTGACCTCCTTATAACACTGTCTCCGCAATGTAAATGAGATCATACTCATTAACCTTCATTTGTGCTGTTAAATGTGCATGGGTTTCAAAACAATGAGTTAAGGCTTGATCTATAAAGTTTGCCTTTTTACCATTTTTTTTTTTCCCCTTTGACCCCATTTGTTGCTGTAGTTTTTATGCTTGTACACTCTGTCTCTTGCTGTCCTTTTCTGGGTACCATTATCAAAATATTTAGCCTGTAATGCCACCATATCCTTTTGCTTTGTAAGCCTACGAATCCTGAACCCTCCCTACCTTAATTAGTCTAAAGTCCTCTCTCTAGTTGTAATATTTGATTCATCAGAACGTTGCTTCCAGGGTTTTCAATCTTGATATCTGTATTTGTTAACAACTTTATTACTTTACTGAAGATTCCTTTAGAGAGATAATAACTTGTTTAAACAAAAGGTTAACTGTTCGTCTAGTTTAACTTGACTCATTACAAATTGCAAGGGGGATCCACAAGTTATATTAATCTAAAGTTCAGCGATCATGTGGCAGACACTCCTGGTAATTTGCTGTTTTGACATCCTCCGTCGGAAATCTGAAACAACAGAGAATGCTGGAAATACTCACTAATTCAAGCAGCATCTGTGGATTGTGAAACTGTTACTATTTAAGGTCTTTTTGTCAAGACTGCTTGAAAAAAAATCAACTCCTGATAATTGATTGATTAGTGCATGTGTGGACTTGTAAGTGTGTACTGAATTGGCAACAGCTTCTGTTTATACAGCAGGCTTAAACAAACCAAGGCACTTCAAACATGGAACCATTGAAGTCGCTATTAAGAAAGGACACCAAAAGCTTGGTCACAGTGCTAGGTTTTAAGAAGCCCCTTAAAAGAGAGATGTAGAGGTTTAGAGCAAGAATTCCTAGGCATCTAAAGGCAGAACCAACAAGGTTGAGCAATTAAGATCAGGAATGCACAATCATTAGGAGTGTAGGGATTGTGAATTGTAGGGCTGGAGGTGAATATAGAAATGGGGAGAAAGGAAATTGAAAACAGGAACGAGAATTTTAAAATCAAAGACTTGTCAGACTTGTCAGACAGCTGTCAATCAGGGCTGCAAGACAAATCTGTCCGAATGCTGATGCCCTCAAATGTAAAAATCCTCGCTGATATTTTATCCATATATCCATGCCTGAGAAATAGCAACTTGGAACAAGGTAGAAAAAGTGGGAACGGTGCTAGTGGGAACATACGCCAACAGGAGTGATTATTCCACAGGCAGAGGGACGAGGTCAAACGGCAAATCGATTTTGTATAGGGATATGAGCAGCAGAATTCCTGCGTAATTTTTTTTGTGTTGTGTGTGATGACTTTATTCATTGCCACCAGGTGGAGGAGCTGAGTCACTTGGAGACTGAGCATGAAGCTGATTTTGGTAACGGGAGTGTGAAGAATTCTGCACAGGTGAAACTCTATGCCTGCTTGTCCTCTTTTTTTAAAAATGTCTTTTTCTCTGCTGCTCATTCTGCAAGGTGTTTCAAATGGGTGAACTAGTCATCTGGCATTATCTCACCTGGTTGCTTGATACAAAAGGCTTCCACTACCCACCTGGGTAAATGTAATCTCTTTCCTATAATAGCGTGCTTCTGCTTGCCAAGTGTGTACAGCAGGATCATGCAGGCTTCACTGTAAACTGGTGTTTGTCCACCTGTTTGCCTCATTTCAATTTCTGATGATCTTTTTTTATTCAGTCACGAGACGTTGCTGGTTAGGCCAGCATTTATTGCCCGTAAAAACCAAAAGAATTGCAGATGCTGTAAATCGGGAACAAAAACAAAATTGCTGGAAAAGCTCAGCAGGTCTGGTAGCATCTGTGAAGGAGAAAACAGAGTTAACGTTGCGGGCCTGCTGACCCTTCCTCAGAACTGCCCATCCCTAAGTTAAGAGTCGACCACATTGCTGTGGGTCTGGTGTCATGTGTAGGTAAGGATGGTAGTTTCCCTGCTTTCTAACATTCGGCAAAGGATTCACGGTTATCATTAGACTCTGAATTCCAGATTTTTATTGAATTCAAATTCTACCATCTGTCGTGACAGGATTTGAACCCGTTTCTCCAGAACATAACCTGTGTCTCTAGAATAGTGACAATAATCCAGCAATAATACCATTTGCCTCCCTTATATTACGGGTTTTAAAAATCGTAACTTTGTTAAGGTATCATGACACCCTCAACAGATCCCTAACATCTCTTGCTTTTAACACCTGCAGAAAAATTACTCCCTGCGTCCAAAAGACCATGTTGTATTCAGACTCTTGCCCTGCATTGTAAATTGCTACGGTTACTGATTTGTTCCACAGAATCAGTTGATCTAATTTCTAGTGATGTAGAATGTTATTACTTTTCTTTCGGATCAAAATCAGGAGGTACAGCTACCAGAATTTCTTGAGAACAGCTGTCGCTCGTATCACCTCGGAAATGGTCCGATTAATGAGGTCAATGTGCCTGGATGCTGGTTTTTCAAACTTCCACACAAGGTTTGTTATTTTTCCTTCCTTTACTTCGTGTATGTGTTGTTTTTTTTTTAATGTTTTGATGCTGATTGGCTCTGGGTTGACCTGATGACACTAATCTTGCTTTGTTCTCCTTGTCACTTGATGGTGATGGCTCTTGGTAACTTCCAATATCCCATGGGCAGGTCTCACATGACTGCCGATGCATCCTGTTGGACGGTGAGTGTCAATGAATGGTGCAATTAATGAAGGAGGTCAGCAAACGCATTTGCATTTGGATGGTGCCGTTCACTAAGGGAAAACACACAAGGCCTAATCAAACAACAGAGTTTGGCCCATTGCAAGGTGCAATGTCAAAAGTTCGAGGCAAGAGGCAGAGTTTTAAGGAAGACAGGCAGATGAAGAGGAAGAGGGGTTTGGGAGGAAATTCCAGAATAAAGGTCTTGGGTGGCTCAATTTATAGCCATTAATAGGGAAAGGGAAGAAAGACTCAAAAGAGACCTGAATCAAAGGAACAGATAATTCAGGAGAGGAGTTGTAGTTGTGCATAGCGTGAGGCCAGACCTTAAAGGCATTACTGTCTGTGGTTATTGACAGAGTTATACAGCATGGAAACAGACCCTTTGATCCAATTAGTCCATGCTGACCAAGTTTCCCAAACTAAACTAGTCCTACTTGCCTGTGTTTGGCCCATATCCATCTAAACTTTTCCTATTCGTATACCTGTCCAAAAGTCTTTTTAGATACTGTAACTGTACCTGCATCCACCACTTTCTCTGGAAGTTCATTCCACATAGGAACCACCCTCTTGTGTGAAAAAACTGCTCCTTGAGTCCCCTTTTAAATCTTTCTCCTCTCTCCTTCATTTTAAAAAAAAAAATAAGCTCCCTAGTTTTGAACTCCCCCAACCAAGGGAAAAGACCATTGCTATTCACCTTATCGATGCCCCTCATGATTTTATAAACTATAAGGTCACCTTCCCCCCCCACTCCAGTGAAAAAAGTCTCAGCCTCTCCTTATAACTCAGACCCTCCAGTCCTGGTAACATCCTGGTAAATCTTGTCTGAATCCTCCCCACTTTAATAATACACTTCCCACACTAGGGTGACCATACACAGTACTGCAAAAGTGGCCTCACCACTGCCCTGTACGACCTGAACATGATGTCCCAACTCTGATACTCAACGGTTTGAGCAATTGAGGCAAACATGCTAAACACCTTTTTAACCACCTTGTCTACCTGTGATGCAAATTTCAAAGAATTTTATGTACCTGAACCCCTAGGTCTCTCTGTTCGGCAACACTGCCTAGGGCCTTACCATTAACTGTGTAAGTCTGCCCTAGTTTGTTTTTTTATGAAAATGTTATACCTCACATTTACCCAAATTTAAACTCCCTCTGCCGCTCCTCAACCCAATAGTCCAATTGATCAAGAGAACCTTCTTCACTGTCCACTATACCACCAATTTTGGTGTCTTCTGTAAACTTACTACCCACGTCTCCTAATTTCTCATCCAAATATTTATATAAGTGACAAACAAAAGTGGACCTAGTACTGATCCATGTGGAACACCACTGGTTACAGGCCTCCAGCCCAAAAAACAACTCTCCACTACTACCCTGAATCTCCAACCATCAAGCCAATTTTGTATCCAAATAGGAACTGCGGACACTGTAAATCGGGAATAAAAACGGAAGTTGCCGGAAAAGCTAGCAGGCCTGGCAGCATCTGTGAAGGAAAAAGTCAGAGTTAACATTTCAGATCTGGTGACCCTTCCTCAGAACAGTTCTGAGGAAGGGTCACCGGACCCGAAACATTAACTCTGACTTTTTTCTTCACAGATGCTGCCAGACCTGCTGAGCTCTTCCAGCAACTCTAATTTTGTATCCAGTTGGCAAGCTCTCCCTGAATGTGATCTAACTTTATTAATTAGGCTACCCTGCAGAACCTTGTCAAAGGTTTTACTAAAGTCCATGTAGACAACATCTACCGCACTGCTGTCATCAATTTTTTTTGGTTACATCCTCAAAACTTAATCAAATTTGTAAGACCATGCTGAATGATCTGACAGAATGCAAAGGAACAATGGTAGATGGAGTGACTAAGTTGAGAAGAAGATTGGCGAGCTTAGTGCTCAGCAGTTCACAGATTGGGAATGTTGGACAAGAGAAATGAGAGATGTAGTTTGTGGGACCCTGATGTGCGCAATTGTGTGATTCACTGTTGTCAGAGCAAAATCGAAATAATCTTGTGCAGCATCACTTGAGAGAGGCTGTGCCAAGCCCTGCATTTATTGAGTTTACTTTATTGCACTCGGAAAAGTGGTGATGTGCCCCCAGCTAAAATACAATTGAGTGCTTGTGTGGCCATCTCGGAGGGCATTTACGAGTTAAACAAATTGATGTGTGTTTGGAGTCACATATATCCTAGACCTGGTAAAGGCAACAGGTTTTTCTTTTCTGGTAGGACACTAATTAACCAGTTGAGTTTTTATGACAATCCAGCAGTTTTCACCTATCACCAATACTAACCTCTTTTATTCTGGATTTATTTGATTGAATTTAAACATCCTGGATGTCCTGGTGGGATTTGAAGTCCTGTCTCCAGATCATTACTCAGGGCTCTGAATTACTAGTCCAGTAATATAACCACAATATAATGATACCACTGTTGAACTGGGCGTGTGGATGGGATGTTAACAGCGCTGCCGCAATGGTTTCCCATAATCTCTGATAATTAAACCTGAGATTCTGATCTTCAGATACCCATTCAACATTTTCTCAGTATTGGCATGGCAATAAAATTGAGTGTCTTTCTTCCTCTGTCTATGTCAGGATGGGAACCGAAACAATGTTGGAAGCCCCTTTGCGAAGGATTTTCTCTCTAAGATGGAAGATGGCACATTGCAGGCGAGCACCAATGCAACAAGTGCAACTAGAGCGCTGGAAATCAATAAGATGATCTCATTCTGGAGGAACGCTCAAAAAAGAATCAGGTCATGGCTGATTTTCTCGCGCTCGTGCTCTCAGTTGAACTCGAATTGACATTGACACAGTCTTATCCACACAGGCTTGGCGTTGGCAGAGAAAGTAATACAAACATTTGAACTAGCAGCAACAGCAGGCCATTTGGCTGTTGGAGCCCACTGTACCATTTGATAAGATCATGGCTGATCTGACTGTGACCTCAACTTTTTTTTTTGTTTTCCCTGTCTACCCCCTCTAACCCCTTGACCCTTTTTTTTTGTCAATAAAGACGTTGTCTAACAAAGCCTTAAGTAAATTCAATGACCCCGTTCCTCCTCCATTTGAGAACAGGATTCCACAGACAAATGACCCTCTTGAGAGAAAAAGATCCTTCTCATTTTCATCTTAAATTTGAGACCTGTCCCTTAGTTCAAGTTTCCCCCACAAGGGGAATAACTTCCTCAGCATCCACCCTGTCGTATCCCCTCAGGATCTTCTATGTTCCAATAAGATCACTTCTCACTCATCTAACTCCAATGGATCCAGCCCCAACCTTTTCCTCAAAAGATAACCCCTCATTCCAGGAATGGGATGCTGATTTTTAAAAGTTTGATTGTGAGTAACTCTGGTCACATCCAGTTTCTTGCAAATGGCCTGTGAATTGTTTGTGCTCAGTAGAATGAGTGTTGCCATTGCTTGGGAATAGAACTCAACATTTTATGTCAGCGTGAAGCAGATCAGATCAGGTGCAACATAATACTGTCTGTATTCTGACCCGTAAAATCCTTCCAGATTATTCCATTTTAGACAGTCAATAAGAATAGTTGGTCTTGAATTTGGGACACTTTCTTTCCTGTGAATGAGATATCCAAGATATCTGGACTCCTCTAAGCTATGGCACATTCCCGTTTTGTTGCTCCATTATTGGTGGTCATGCCTTCAGCTGCTTGGGTCCTAAAGTCTGAACTTCCCTTGCCGCACTTCTCTGACCCGCTTCCACCTTTTTCTTCTTTAAGGAACTCCTTAAAAACCAGAGGTAGTAAGAACTGCTGATTCTGGAGTCAGAAACAACAGTGTGGAGCTGGAGGAACACAGCAGGCCAGGCAGCATCAGAGGAGCAGGAAAGTTGACGTTTTGAGTCAGGACACTTCTTCAGAAGAAGACCCTTTTCGAAGAACGGTCCTGACCCGAAATGTCAACTTTCCCGCTCCTCTGACGCTGCCTGGCCTACTGTGTTGTCTCCTTTAAAATCCAGTTTTGGTCTTCTGGCCTAGTATCTCCTAATGTGGTTCAGTGCTATGTTTTATGTGTCTCCTGTAAACTGTCTCGGGACGTTTCATTGCATTGTTATTGAATGCACATGCCTGAGAAGGACTGAGCATTAGAGAATAATGTCTCTGCCACACCTGAGATTGTCAGAAGGAAGAGTCCCTTCCTTCATCGACAATTACTCCCCCTCCTGGCAAGATAGCAATATAGCAACATTGCCATAATGCATGGCCAAGAAAACACACTACTGGGTAGGGAATATTTCATTTCTGTGTAATTGCTAACAATTGTCAAAAAATCAATGGCATTGTTAATGCATCCTCTCAGAGGGTGATACATTTTCAGAATCCATACGAATCTGCTTGCCCCACAAAGTTGGCTGTTGTGTTCTTTACTATGACAGTAATTCTACCATATGTCAGCTTCTAAACCTGATTGCAGTTGATATTAACATCAATATCATAAGTCTCAATAAATATGTTGACAGCAGAAGGTTGTTGAGCTGTGTAATGAAATAAACCAATTTGCTTGCTTCTGCAGTTCTCAGATAGTTCTGATGCTGAGGAAAAGTGAGCTACCTCGAACAGTCACAAGGTGTGTATAGTAATTTATCACCAGTCTTTGGGCTTTTCCATTTGTTGTTTTGCTCTCCCTTCTTCCTAATGTTGTCTCTTGCAGGAGTCTGTTTCTCAAGCAGGCTCTATTCAAACGTCTGTTCTTCATTTGTGAACTTAGAATGCTGACCGGCTATTTACTAGGGAGGTCATCACAGTTAACTTAGATTTGTCTTCACCCGATATTGTCCTTCTAGTAACTTCTTAATTGGGATTGTTTGATGCTGGCACTAAGCTAAGGTTGCTCCTCACAGTGAGAGAAAGGAAATTGTCTGGAAAACTTAACTTGAACCAGAATATACTGGGAGATGGGACCCTCGTGATGCTCTGCTCACTGAATCTTTTAGTAACACCTTACAGCTTATGTTTTTGGTATTCGGTCAATGGATGTGGGAGTCGCTGGCTGGGCCAGCACTTATTGCCTATCCCTTGTTCAGAAGTTGGTGGTGAGCTGCCGTTTTGAACTGCTGTAATCTTTTGGTGTTAGCGCTCCCCACAATACTGTTGCGGAAGAAATTCCAAGATTTTGACTGAACAACATTGAAGGTTATTTCCAAGATGTATTTCCAAGTCAGGATAGTGAGTGACTTGGAGGGGTACATAGAGGTGGTATTGTTGTTTCTTTATATGCTGCTTCTATCCTTCTAGATAGTAGTGGTCATAAGTTATGAAGGTGCAGTCAAAGAAAACTTGGTGAGTTTCTGCAGTGCATCCTGTAGATGATAGACACTGCTGCTACTCTGCATTGTTGGTGGCCCACGTATATATTTATAGATGTGATGTCAGTCAGAAGGTTGCTTGTCATGGATTTTTGAGTGTTGTTAGATGTGCAGTCATCCAGGCAAGTGGAGGATCTCCCATCATAACCCTAATGTGCCTTGTGGATGGTGAGCAGGCTTTGGGGAGTCAGGTGGGTTACTCGCTGCTGGATTCCTAGCTACTGTATTTAAATGGCTTGTCCATTACGTGAAATAGACAATGGTCACCCTCAAGACGTTGATAATGGGACAATTCAGCAACATTAAGGCCGTTGAATATCAAGAGGCAATGGTTAGATCCTGTTTGGTTGGAGATGATCATTGCCTGACGATTGTGCAGTGTAAATGTTACTTGCTACTTGTCAACCCAAGCTTGATATTGAACAGTATTAGATTATTAGCTATGTTATGTTAAATGTTTCGCTTTCACAATTACAGGCATCGTTCCTACGATGAAGAAAACGAATATGGAGCGATTTTGCCACAAGTCATCACGGCTGGCACAGTGACTCGACGAGCAGTCGAGCCGACCTGGCTAACTGCCAGCAATGCACAGGTATGTGACACTAACAGACAATGTTAGGACCATAGACTGTTTCCTATAAACACAGTTAGCCTTCTGTTCCTCACAGTGCTCAACTGCAGGAAGTGGTTTGCGCAGTCCTTGCATTAGGAACGTTATTCTGTGTTGAAACTGTGCTGCACAAATGCGTGACTGTTACCATTAATGTGTTGGATTTGGCTCAGTTGGTAGCACACTCACCACAAGAGATATGGTTACAGTTTCAAGTACCACTCCAGAACCCGAGTGTGACAATCGAGGCTGATACTCTAATAACAGTACTGAGAGAGTGTTGCACTTGCTGAGGTGATGATTTTCAGCCAAGTCCCATCTCTCTGCTTGTGTGAACACAATAATATACAATATAACAGTACAATGCAGCGCAGGAACAGGCCCTTCTGCCCGCCAAGCCTGTGCCGAATCCTGCTACTTATTACCCATACGTGGTTTCTATCACTGTGATCGCCTCCTGCTCATGCGTCCAACAAGATACACCTTAAACGTTGCTAATGTGCCTATTTCCACCACCTCCACTGGCAATGCAATCCAGGGCACCCACCATCCTCTGTATGAAAAAGTTTCCCCATACGTCTTCCCGAAACTTTTCCCCCTTCTCACCTTGAACCTGTGCGCTCTTGTAGTTGACCTTACCACCCTGGGCAAAAGCCTCTGACTATCCACCCTATATATGCCTCTGATAATTTTGTAGAACTCGATAGAGTTGCCCCTCAGTCGTCTTCTTCCCAATGCAAACAATCCAAGTTTATCCAACTTCTCCTCACAACTAGAACGCTCCAGACCACACAACATTTTGGTAAACCCTCTCTGAAGAATCCACATCCTTCTGGTAGTGTGGCAACCAGAACTACATGCCATATTCCAAATATGGCCTGACTAAAGTTTTATGCTGCTATAACATAGAGTCTTTGGGATGTACAGCATGGAAATAGGGCCTTCGAACTGACTTGTTCGTGCTGACCAGATATCCTAAATTAATCTAGTCCCACTTGCCAGCATTTAGCCCTTATCCCTCTTAAACCCTTCCTGTATGCCTCGAGATGCCTCTTAAATGTTGTAATTGTACCAACCTCCAGCACTTCCTCTGGCAGCTCATTTCAGACACACACCACCCTCTGCATGAAAAAGTTGCCCCTTAGGCCCCTTTTAAATCTTTCCCTTCTCACCTTACACTTATGACCTCCAGTTTTGGACTCTGCTATCCTGGGGAAAAGACCTTGTCTATTGACCTTATCCTTGCCCCTCATGATTTTATAAACCTCTATAAGGTCACCCCCTCAGCCTCTGCTCCAGGGAAAATAATCCGATCATATTCAGCGTCTCCCTATAGCTCAAACTCTCCAACCCTGGCAACATCCTTTGTAAATATTTTCTGAACCCTTTCAAGTTTCACAACATCCTTCCGATAGCAGGGAGACCAGAATTGCACACACTATTCCAAAAATGGCCTAAAGAATGTCCTGTAGAGCAGTAACATGACCTCCCAACTCCTATACTGAATGCACTGACCAATAAAGGCAAGCATACCAACGCCACCTTCACTATCCTATCTACCTGTGACTCCACTTTCAAGGAACTATGAACCTACACACTAAGGTCTCTTTGTTCAGCAACAATCCCCAGGACCTTACCATTAAGTATATAAGTCCTGCCCTGATTTGCCTTTCCAAACTGCGGCACCTCACATTTAACTAAATTAAACTCCATCTGCCACTCCTTGGCCCATTGGCCCATCGGATCAAAGCCCCGTTGTGCTCTGAAGTAACCTTGTTCGCTGTCCACTACACCTCCAATTTTGGTGTCACCTGCAAACTTGCTAACCATCCCTCCTGTGTTCACATCCAAATAATTTATATAAATGACGAAAAGCAGTGGACCCAGCACCGTTCCTTGTGGCATACCACTAGTCACAGGCCTCCAGTCTGAAAAGCAACCCTCCACCACTACCCTCTGTCTTCTACTTTTGAGCCAGTTCTGTATCCAAACAGCTAGTTCTCCCTCTATTCCATGTGATCTAACTTTGCTAACCAGTCTACTATGAAGAGCCACCACAAACGCCTTTCTGAAGTCCATATAGATCACTTCCACTGCTCTGCCCTCATCAATCCTGTTCGTTACTTCTTCAAAAAAACTCAATTAAGTTAGTGAGACATGATTTTCCACACACAGTCATGTTGACTGTCCCTAATCAGTCCTTGCAATCAAACACACTTCCTGCAGACATAATTATCAGTAACATGGATGCTCTCCCCAATCTCCCACAGCCGACAGGAAGAGCACATCACTCTACTAAAGGCCATCGTTGCACCTTAACAATCCACAGGCCCACAAAATAGCACCGTCTTACTGCTATATAAAACACTGCTCCAGGCCTTCGTAGTACCTATGCTTTACATTTTTAACATTTAATTTAGAGACAGATCTCAATAAAACAGAGAATCAACAAAGAACCCACTCTACTCACTATTGTTGAGTTACAAAAAAAACCCAGTAATGTTACACTTAAAATCTATCCACTTCACTGCTCCCCTGTTGTGAGGTTTCTCTGTGAATTTTGCTCTTTGTTAATTTTTCTTAGATGAAACTCTGATGTCCAGAGATAGTTGAAGTCAAACAGCAGAGACAGTAGCTATGCAGATTTGCTGTTGGCTCAGAAGCAGTGTAGGTTTCTTTCTCCGTTTGAATCACTTCCTGTGTGGTCACTACTTTTGTCTGTTTTCCCCCTTTTTAAAGTGCCATTGTTTTGATAAAGTTCCAAAACAATGCAACAGCTTATAAAACAGTAAATTACTGCTCCTAGAATTCCAGAAAATCAGCTCCAATACTGAAAATACCTCAAAAAAGGAGCAGCTCTTACAGCCACAACTTTTTCCTGTCCTACATCTTAGATTACCCAACCTTGCCAACTATCATATTTGATGTCCTGGCCCATTGAAGGCAAGCGTGCTGAATGCCTTCTTGATCACCTTATCCACCTGTGTTGCCACTTTCTGGGATCTGTGGACCTGTATGCCCAGATCACTCTATCAGTGCTCCTAAGGATTCTGCCATTTATTGTATAATTTGCACCTGAATTTGATCTTCCAAAATGCATCACCTTGCATTTGTCCAGGTGAAACTCCACCTGCCACTTCTCTGCCTAAATCTGCAATCTATCTATATCCTGCTGTATCCTTTGACAATTCTCCTCACTATCTGTAACTCAGCCAGTTTTGGTGTCATCTGCAAACTTGCCAATCAGACCACCTACATTTTCCTCCAGATCATCTCCGTTCCAAAAAGCACTCTTGAAGATCTCATGCTAAAACTCTAAAGAAGACCAAGAAAGCTATCCTTAGTGCCCTGGTCAATATTTATCCTTCACTCATCGTCACAACATATGTTATGTTGACATTATCACATTTTACTGTTTGTGGGTGTTTGTTGTGCATGCCATAAGTCGACATTTGGAAAGTGGGAGTTATTTAAAAGTAGTAGAGTAAGAATTCAGGGGGAGCGTGTTCCCCCGAGAGTGAAGAGCAAGAGCAGCAAATCCAGGGAACCCTGGATGTCAAGGGATAGTGAAAGTTTGAGAAAGATAAAGAAAGAAGCATATGTTAGGTGCAACGCATTATGAACAGGAGTGGACCTTCAAAAGTATGGAGTGCATTGGCAGTGCTTAAAAGATTTAGGAGGGCGAGGAAGGGCCATGAAATACCTTTGGCAAAACCCCCAAGACATTACTATTCACAGTAAGAAGATTACTGTGGAAAGAGTTGTCTATTAGAGACCAAGAGGGCAATCTGCATACAGCCAGAGGACGTGGGTGAGGTGTTAATATTTCTCATCTGTATTCACAAAGGAAAAAGACATTGTTTCCAGGAGTTTCGTTCAGGATGATGAGGTTCTAAAACACGTTAAGATTAATGAAGAGGAGGTATTAGATGTTTTAGTGGACATAAAGGTGCATAAATTTCCAGGGCCTGATGTGATGTATCTCAGACTGCTATGGGAGGCAAGGGAGGAGATTGCTGGGGTCCTGGCGGAGATATTTCATACTTTGCTGGTCACAGGTGAAGTGCCAGATGATTTGAGGTTAGCTAATGTGGTTCCTTTGGTCAAGAAGGCAGGTAATTGCAGGCCAGTTAGTCTGCTGTCAGTGATAGGGAAATTTATTGGTTTAAAAAAAAACTGAGGGACAGGATTAATCAACACGTGGAAAGGGAGGGATAGTTGGCATGCATTTGTTAGAGATCATGCCTGTCTAATTTAGTTGAGTTTTTAAAAACAAGTAACTAAATATATTGATGAGGATAATGCAGTTGATGTGGTTTACATGGACTTCACATGGAAGGCTTGTCCAAAAGCTAAGAGCCCATGGGATCCAAGGCAAGTTGGCAAACTGGATCCAACATTGGTTTTTAAATAGGAGGCAAGAGTTGATTGTGGAGAGTTATTTTTGTGATTCAAAGCCTATTATGAGTGGTATACCACAGGGATTAGTGCTGGGATCCTTGCTGTTTGTTATGTACATTAACAACTTGGATGTGAATGTCAAAGGTATATTTAGTAAGTTTGTAGATTTACACAAAAATTTAATGGTGTTGATAGTGAAGAGGATGGTCTCAGGCCACAGTCTGGTATTGATTAGTTGGTAAATTGGGCACAGCAATGGCAGATGGAATTTAAACCTGATAAGTGTGAGGTGATGCATTTTGGGAGGTCTGATAATGGAAAGATATACATAATGAACGGTAGGTCCCTAGGAATGACTTGACGAACAAAGGGACCTTGGTGTACAAGTTCATAGGTCCCTGAAGGTGTCAATCAAGGTAGCCAGGGTGGTGAAGAAGGCATATGGGAAGCTTGCCTTCATTAGCTGGGATGTAGAATATAGGAGCAAGGAAGTTTTGTTATGACTTCATAAAACATTGTTTAAGCCACGGATGAAATACTGTGTGTAGGTCTGGTCACTACACTATTGGAAGGACATGATTGCTCAGGAGAGGGTGCAGATGAGATGCAGCAGGATGTTGCCGAGGATGGAAAAATTTCGGGTATGAAGAGAGACTATGTAGGCTGGGTTTGTTTTCCTTGGAGTAGAGGAGGCTGAGGAGGTATCTGATTGAGGGATGCAAAATTCTGAGAGGCATAGACAGAGTAAATTGTGTCTTTTCCCCATGGCAGACATATCCAAGATCCGAGACCACAAGTTTAAAGTGAGGAGTAAGTGGTTTAGAGACGATCTGAGGATTTTATTCCCTCCCAGCGGGTGGTAGAAATATAGAAGGTGTTTTTCTTTTAAATAGAGAATTTTATTTCATAAGGATTTACATTTAAGTGTTATCACATCACAAACCATCTTGCGTATTGTGAATTATTATAGGTCACCATAGTCTTGTCAGACCATTAGGTGGTGGAGGCAGATACACTCAACGTTTGAGGAGCATCTGGATATAACAATTAGAATGCCAGGGCATAGGCTACAGACCAAGGGCAGGTAAATTGGATTAGCGTAGTTTGGTGTTTGTTGGCCAGTATGGACATACTGGGCTGAAAGGCCTGTTTCTGTGCAGTATGACTATGATTGGCTACTACAATTCCTATATAAGAGGTGATTAAACTTCAGCAGTACTTCATAAGCTGGAAAGCACTTGGTGACATCTGGTAATTGTGAGAAGTGCTATTAAAATCTTTCTTTCTTTCTAATCAATACTAACACCCCACCAAAAAAGTCCCAAAGAATTCATGCATGTTGAATATTACAAGAAGCTGTAAAGTAGGGCACAGTTCCTATTTCATTCATCAGGATGTTAATGTTTGGTGCTGGTCCTGATTGGGTCAGATGTGTTCCTGCAGCTGGGTATTATACAAGCGCTTAATGGTGTGTCAGGATTCATGTGTGAGCATCAAATTTTTACGCATTGCTCAGAAAACACAAACCTTTTCCGAGACAATGCAATTTCCCACACCAAAAAGTCAGTTTTCAAATGTGAACCAGGATGCTATAGACAACAGCTAATGACTTTGTGCAAAAATGTAAAACTGACAAATACAATCAGCAGCCCCCTTTACATCTCATCCATTTGTCATTTCTATTCACATTAATGGGAATACCAAGTTGGTCATGTGCAAAGCTGGCTTCTGATTCTTTGTTTTGTTCCATGCCACCACGTGCAGCTCTCATATGGTGCATTTAACATCATAAGTGGCACAAGCAATAGTAATTATCCAGCAAAATTAGGAATAATAGGTACAAAGACAAGTAGTTCAAGGAAGACTGATGAAATTTCATAAATCTGTCAGAGAGGGAGAGCAGGCCAGAGATCTTTAGGGAAGAAATTCTGAATAGTTTAGGATCAAAACAGTTGAAAACAGTTGTCATTTGTAGGACAATTAAAATAGGAGATGGAGAAGAAGCAGAGTCTCTTTGGATTGGAAGAGGTTAGAGAAATAGAGAGGGGAAAGGCCATACAGGGATTTGAAGAGAATTTTGAACATTTCAGAATTGAATGTGACCAAGCACAAGTGCAGGTTGGTGAACATAGGATGATGGGTGGTGTGGGCTGATCTATGGACAGCAGAGATTGGAATGAACTCACATTTTATGTATGGGTCAAGTTAACAAGGTTACAAAGGTAGGTTTCAGCATAAAAATCAGACATACCATAAATATCTAGATGCTGTTTGAAGTGTGTGCTTGTGGTGGTGGGGGCATGGATAGGAGTGAATTGGCATCATTGCCAGAATATGTAACATCCACACAAGATTATCAGCTGATTTTCTTTATCTCCACCCCGCACCCCCCCCACCCCCAACTGCCTCCAAGTCCAGTAGTAGCACCCCAGTAGTAGCTAACCGCACCTATTCAGGATGTCATTTCCTAGACCACGCAACTCATTATTACCCAAGGCAATGTGTTTGGTCAGAATGAGGGATTATGAGCTCAAAATATGTGGTAGGTCATTTCAGACTGAATGTGGAGAAATGTCTTCACTCAGATGATGGTGAACCTGTGGAATTCTCCAGCACAAGACAATGAATATATTTAAGAAATAAAGAGATGTCTACAAGCTAAAGGTGTCAAGGGTTATGGGGAGAAAGCGAGGGTATGGCGTTGAGATAGAGGATCAAACATGATCATATTGAGTGGTGGAGTGGGCTCATTGGGCCAAACTGCCTATTCCAGCTCCTACTTTCTTTGTTTCTATAACGGAGTAACCATAGGGTCTTAAAAAGAGAAGTGAGTTGATGGAAGGGTTTAGGGAGAGTGTCATCGTGAAGCTACTATTGTTAACCCAGCAAAGAATATAAACGGATTGTGTTCCTTTCCCTCTCACAGACCGATCGTGTGGGTAGTGAACTGAAAGCTATGGTTCAAGTACCACCAGGATACCACTTGATTGGAGCAGATGTCGACTCTCAGGAGCTCTGGATTGCTGCTGTTCTTGGAGAAGCCCATTTTGCTAGAATACATGGTAAACTGGTCGAATGGAGGGGTGGACATATAGCAGATCTAACTCATTCAATTTACATATCAAGAAAGCAATCCCAATTGTCTGTCTTTGTGCATACGTTTCACAAACAAATTTTTCAGCCTATCCCTGGAGTCATGATGAACATGTTACATTTTTCCATTTTATACAGGTGGTATCAGATGAAACAGTAGTGCTTGATACAAAGTAGATGGTGTGTCTGTGGTTTTTCATGCACTTCCACTCCTTTGCTCCATTACCAGTATCATCATCCTCTAGGACTCTCTGGAATTCTCTCCCAAAACCCTTCCATCAACTCACTTCTCTTTTTAAGACCCTATGGTTACTCTGTTATAGAAACAAAGTAAGTAGGAGCTGGAATAGGCAGTTTGGCCCAATGAGCCCACTCCACCACTCAATATGATCATGTTTGATCCTCTGTCTCAACGCCATACCCTCGCTTTCTCCCCATAACCCTTGACACCTTTAGCTTGTAGACATCTCTTTATTTCTTAAAATATATTCATTGTCTTGTGGTGGAGAATTCCACAGGTTCACCATCATCTGAGTGAAGACATTTCTCCACATTCTCAGTCTGAAATGACCTACCACATATTTTGAGCTCATAATCCCTCATTCTGGAACCCCTGGCCTTGGGAAACATGCATCCAGTCTTGTCAGAATTTTATATTTCAACACGATCCCCTCATTTTTCTAAACCCCAGTGAACACAGATACATGATTCAATCTCTGCTCATTTCATTTTAGTGATTGGAGCGATATCAGCCACATGGATCTCGTAGAATAGGAGTTCTCTGGGCTGTTAACCTGGTCTGATCAGGGAGTCCTGGCTGACAGATATAAACAGAAGTGTTGGGGGCTCTGCTCATCCTAGAAGCCAGCTCTGTGCTAGCTGGGTCAATGTCATGTACTATGCATATGTAAATAAAGGGTGACTTGATGAGGGGATACTAGTCTTGGTGGAGTTATTTCAACAATAAATCTGCTATCCCAGGAATCCATCTGGAGAAACTTTGCTGCACTTCCTCTATGGAAAGTGTACCTTTCTCAGACAAGGAAACCAAATCTGTGCACAGTACTTCAGGTGTGGTCTCATCAAAGCCCTGTCCAGCTGAAGCAAGACTTCCTTGCTCCTGTACTCCAATCCTGTTGCAACAAAGGTCAACATACAGGGTGCCTTCCTAACTCGCTTACTTTCAGTGAGTTGTATACAAGGATATCGGGGTATCTTTACACATCAAAATTTCTCAAATACCACCATTCAAATAATATTGACATTGTTCTTCCTACTGAAGTGGACAACCCAGACTTGTCCAAGTTATACTGCAATAGTTATGCATTTGCCCACTCACTCAACTTGTCTAAATCATCTTGAAGGCTCTTTACATGGCCCCCACCAGTCAAAATCCCATCCAGCTTTTTGTTGTCAGCAAACATTAAAATATTACATTTAATTCTCTCATTCAAATTGTTGATATACATTGTAAATAGCTGGGGCCCGAGCATTGCATCCTGCAGTATCTGACTTGTCACTGCCTTTCACTCATTTATTCATACTCCGTTTCTTGTATGCTAACCAATTCTCAAACCATGTCAGTATATTTTCCCTAATCCCATGTGCTTTTATTTTGCACACTAATGCTTTATGTGGAACTTCCTCAAACTTTCTCAGAAATCCAAATACACCACACTTCCCTCATCTCTTCTCGAAAACTTCAGTAGGTTTATCAAACATGATTTTGCTTTCGTGAATCCATGTTAATTTTGTGTAATCCCATTGGTATTTTCTAAGTTTTTGTTTTAATTTTCTGATTTTGCTGTTATCCCATCCTTCACTATATAGAATTCAGTATTTTTCCTAATACTGATGTTTGGCTAATTGGTTTTCTGTTTTCTTTCTTTCTTTTTTTTTTGAATAGTAAGCTTACATCTGCCACCCTTCAATTTAGAGTTGTGGAAAATGACAATCGATGTATCCATGGTTACCTCCTTTAGTATTCCGGGATGTAAATTGTCTGGCCTTGGGGGTTTTATTAGCTTTCACTGATTTCTCCAGCACAATTTTTCTTTTACTAATACTAATCCCCTTCAATTCCTCCTTCCCTATGCCTTTTGTTTCCCAAGCGTTTCTGGGAAGCTTATTGTATCTCGTTGAGTTGGCTCAACAGGATGGTAACAATTATTTCCTTATGACTGGAGCTGGATATTTAGCATCCTCACACATATATGCTTTCTCATTCACTCACTCCACAGGCAACCAATTAAATTTGTGTTTGTTTAGTAAATTTTTTTTTTTTCTTTTGGAAAATGACAAAAATCATTTTGCAAAAGAGTAGAATCATAGAATTCCTACAGTGTGGAAGCAGGCCATTTTGCCCATCAGGTCCACACTGAGATCCACCCTCCCCTACCCTATCCCTGTAACCCTGCATTCCCCATGGCTAATCAACCCAAACTACACATCCTGAGATGGGCAATTTAGCATGGCCAGTCCGCCTAACCTGCACATCTTTGGACTGTGGGAGGAAACCCATGCAGACACTGGGAGAATGTGAAAACTCCGCACAGTCACACGAGGGTGGAATTGAAGCCAGGTCCCAGACACTGTGAGGTAGCAGTGCCAACAACAGAGCTACTGTGCCGCAGAGTAATCAAACAAAACTTGCCAAAAGAAAAATTAACCACAAACTTAGTTGTATAGGACCAAATACAAATCGACAAGGTGATTTATTTCACAGTGGTGATATCATGTGTAAGCACCCTGATTCAACACTACACAATAAAAAAATCTATGTCTTTACATTATCAACTTCCTTACATGATTTAGCCATGAAGTCTTCTAAATTTCTTCCTGCATTTGCAATTTGTCACGTTTTTTACTGATCTTTACTAATTTACAGCTTAACCTACAGAATTTGGTTTAAAAACACATTGTTTCACTGTGTCCTTGTCTTTGTTTTATCTTTGTTTAAAGCTGAAATGCAAGCAGTCAGATAATCCTTGTCAAGTGTTCAGGAACAGAGACATGCCAGTGTATCTGTAGTGGAGTAATTATTGATTACTGTGATATCTTAATAAATAGCATTTTGTTTTGTCTTTGAGGAATACAGTGTATATTTGACCACCTTTCATACAGCTGTCTCTTGTTCTGAACGAGTTGAATAGCCCTTTGAAATTGACAGAACAAAGTGGGAAGTTGGACCATTGGCAATAATATGTATCGGGCTAGTGTAATTAAATCTGAATTAACTTCTGGAACCTCCCTGTGGTTTAGAAGACTGATAGACTACACAGGTAGCCTACATATTGTGACACCACCATTGCTGACTAGAATGGAGAGTTGATCATGACTGCTCACTGTATTCTACAGTAGAAATCATTGTGTTTTATCAGAAGATGTTGCAGTTTCAGCCATTAGTTCTGTTCATGGTATTTTGTAGAACTTTGCAAATATCATTTTTTAAAAATTCTTTTATGGGATGTGGGCATCACTGGAAAGGTCACCATTTGTTACGCTTCCTCAATTGCCCTTCAGAATGTGGTGGTGAGCTGTTGCCTTGAGCTGCAGTCCACTTGGTGTAGTTACATGCTCAATACTCTATTGCACTGTTTTAAACAGCCTCCACTTGTGGCTCAACTAGACTTGGTTTGCTTGAGTAAATAGACTTTTGAGTTCTGCCTTAAGTTCCCTAGTATGTTCACGTAATTGGCTGAAACAGTGGTGTCAATGGAAAACAGAGTCATGGAGCACAGAAACGGATCCTTCAGTCCAACCATAATTCCAAACTAAACTAGTCCCACCTGCCTGCTCCTGGCCCATATCCCAACAAACCTTTCCTGTTCATGTACTTATCCAAATGTCTTTTAAATGTTGTAACTGTACCTGCATCTACCACTTCCTCTGGAAGTTCATTTCACACATGAACCACCCTCTATATAAAAAATTTGCCCCTTGTGTCCTTTTTAAATCTCTCTCCTTTCACCTCAAAAAGTGCCACCTAATTTGAAATCCCCCATCCCAAGGGAAAAGACAACTACCATTAACTCCCATCTATACCCCTCATTATTTTATAAACTTCTATAAGGTTGCCTCTCAACCTCCTACCCTCCTGCTATACGGGATATGATGGAGATTGTTCTTCAGTGGGCGACACAAGTTATTTGTCTCTGTCTCCGGAGTCTGGTGTATTTAGTGAGCCATTCAGGTTACTGACTTTTTTTTTTTAACCTTTGGCTGTAAGTAACATCTCGTGCATCCCTCTCCCATCAGGATGCACTGCGTTTGGCTGGATGATGCTTCAGGGGAAAAAGAGCAGTGGTACAGACCTCCACAGCAAGACAGCTGCCACCGTGGGAATCAGTCGGGAGCATGCCAAGGTTTTCAATTATGGACGGATATACGGTGCTGGGCAGCCATTCGCAGAAAGGCTCCTTATGCAGTTTAATCACCGTCTGACGTCTCGGGAAGCTGAAGAGAAAGCACGGCAGATGTATGCAGCGACTAAAGGCATCCGAAGGTAAGCTCATTCTCTCTTCCTACCATTTACACTCTTATTCATTCTTTGTGACAAATAACCTGGTTACAATAAAGTTTTTTTTTTTGGCCTTAGATGGTGCTGGGAAGCATGAGACTAAAGCATTTGATGGCAGCACCAAGCACATAATATGTGCACTGCCATTGTGTGGGCCTGATTTTTTTTTTTTTGTATTTCTCGCACGAGCTCCTCTCTGGCTCTCCCGTTCATGCTGATTTTGTGAGCGATATCATGGTGCAGCCACACCCATTCTCTTTCAAGAAGGTCCTGACTGCCATGTGGGACTTTTGTTGTCTGGCTGTGTCGGATTAAATAGGACTAAGGGTTTGAAAAAAAAAAAAAAAAGCTCTCAGTACATGAATGGTTAAATAATTAATAGGCGAATCCACAGTGAATTGAACCAACTACTTTTTCAGGAATAGTAGGAACTGCCGATGCTGGAGAATCTGAGATAACAAGGTGCAGGGCTGGATGAACACAGCAGGCCAAGCAGCATCATAGGAGCAGGAAAACTGACGTTTCGGGCCTAGACCCTTCATCAGAAATGGGGGAGGGGAAAGGGGTTCTGAAATAAATCGGGAGGAGGCGGAGGCGGATAGAAGATGGATAGAGGAGAAGATAGGTGGAGAGGAAACAGACAGGTCAAAGAGCCGGGGGTGGAACCAGTAAAGGTGTGTGTAGAGGGGAGGTAGGGAGGAGATAGGTCAGTCCAGGGAGGACAGACAGGTCAAGGGGGAGGGATGAGGTTAGTAGGTAGGAGATAGGGGTGCGGCTTGAGGTGGGAGGAGGGGATAGGTGGGAGGAATACTGTTTTCCCTCAAATCTCCAGAAGTGTTCCTTAAATTGTATTTCCTTAAGCATTTAATATTCTGCCTGCATCTCATCCAAGTGGTCCTGTAAGATTTTAGATCATGAATGGCAGAAGCCTGTCCATGCTTCAAAAGCAAATCCTGATGTACAACATTTAAAAGGCATCTGGATGGGCATATGAATAGGAAGGGTTTAGAGGGATATGGGCCAGATGGGACGAGATTAATTTAGGATATCTGGTTGGCTTGGACAACTTAGACAGAATGGTCTCTTTCTGTGCTGTATAACTGAGTGTATAACTCTAAATTGAATGAGGAAAGTAGTGAAGTGCAATGGACAAAACAATTGATATCACGAGATGATTAGATGCATTTCTAGTGAAAAGGAGAGTGGGAGGAACTGATTTTTCTAGGCAAAAATGACTGGCACCATTCATAATCACAAAGCACTTTGCAGCTAATTAAGCATTTTTGAAATCGCATCAGTGTTGCGGTTTGGGAAATGCAACAGCTTATTTGTACTTATCACAAACAACTAAGTAATAATGGCCAGATAAACTGCTTTCTTTAAATGGGGTTGATTTAAGGATAAACATAGACTCGGGCACAAGCTTAATGGAAACAAATAAAAGTATATTGCAGTTTTCCTTCTGTTTTATGAACTGATGATAAAGAGTACAAACAATAACTGCATGTGAAGAGCCAGCCCATTATGCCTAATGGATTACTAGTTCTTTGCAGTAACACTTCATTATATTAATGTTGTAAGAGTAGAAACTGAAGCAGCTGACTTGAAGTGAGTTCCATGTAGCTTTGCTTCGAAACAGATGTGTGCTTTCAGAAGATGGGGAGTGGCTTGTGGAGGAGCTGGGCATCTCTGTGGAAAAAGCAGAAAATGGAACAGTGTCTACTGCAGATGTACGTAAAATCCAGCGAGAAGTGGCAAAAAGGTTGGTGTACTTCTGGAAATTGGTAAATAGTGTGTAACGTGCTAAACAAGCTCTACACGTAAACACATCTTTATTATCTATGCATTAGGAGGGATGCAGACAGTGCAGGGTTTCCATTCGTAATCCACCTCGTCTTCCTCCAACGACACGGGCAGACTGTTTTTGACTGGAGGGTTTTCTGATCTTCGTGGGATTCAATTTCCTTCTTGTTCTCCAGCAATAGAATGCTTTAGAAGCAATAAAGTGCTCGAAACTAATATTAACACAAAAGCAGTGCTAGTATTAAAGATTGAAAGCAATGGTCCACCGTTAAGAGGAATCTCCTATCTCGCTGTCATGGATTCGAGTAGGCTCTTAGAGAGAGATATACTTCTGTACCCACATGTATGCAATCAGTTTGCCTTGAATATTTATTCATGGGAGTGATTATGCTTCTCTGATTAACATGAACAAAAATATTAACCTCTAAGACCAGGCAACGTGATTATACCTGAGGAAATTAAGTCACATCGGGTATATATTAACAAATTGAGCCACTCTTTGTTTGTCACTGGAGGTTTTGTGAAGCTGGCCTTTGCCTCAGGTGGCATCTGTAAATGTTGAAGGTTAAAGTGGTCGAGCACAGCTGAATCTGATCAACAGGCAGCATCTCAGAATGTTGGGATGGAGGTTTGCTTGTTCGCTGTCAGCCAGCACAGTGAGTTTCAGCTGTTTCAGTGGGAAGTGGTCATAGCAGAGAACTTTGTGAAAGCATGAAAAATTACCCTGTCCACTCTGCCAATTGGTGAAGAGACACAGAACTATGACTTTAGGGGAACCACAGAGTAAATAGCAATAGGTGACAAACTAGTCATCAATTTCTGGTCTGTGCTGCTTTGGCTTATCTCAGGTACTTACCTTGTGCCTTCGAGCTGAGAAATAGTGGAAGAATTAGCAAGAATCCTCACTGCTGATTTGTTACCTCCTGTTGGTCTCAGTGACTGTAGACTAGCTTTGAAGAAGACACTGTGATGCTTTAATTGAAAAACTCATCTAGCTGATTGTGAAAAGCTGTGCAGTGGGAATTGGAGTTGTATCATAACAAGCTAGTACCTTTTTTTGTTTAAACGGCGGAAGAAGCATCCACTAAAGTAAAATTGGACCAGGTTCATGAAAGCCTGGTATAAATATAACTGCTTTACTTCTCTATTTCTATCCATTACTGCGCTATATTCGATTGGAATCATTCAATTATTGTGAAGAATTTCCTTTCACTTGAACTGTACAGGTCCAATGGTGCCAAGTGGACAGTTGTGAAGCAGAGGGTCTGGAGTGGGGGCACTGAGTCCCAAATGTTCAACAAACTGGAATGTATTGCCACATCCCAATTCCCCCGAACCCCAGTGTTGGGCTGCTGTATCAGCAGAGCTCTGGAACCAAGTGCTGTAGGACATGAGGTATCATGGACTCTTTTTTTAATATGATTTCTCCTTTGCATTTCAAAGAATGTTTGTTGTAGCAAAGTCAAAAAGGCAATCAAGCCCAAATGGCATTTTTGTAGGGACTGCATTAAATTGGCTGATACCTTAGGAGTTACCTAAATGCAACATCTTCAACTATCACTCCTGTCCAAAAGTATAATACTGGAATTCTGAAATAAAAACTGAAAATGCGGATCAGGCAGCATCTGTGGAGAGGAAAAGCTTTAATGTTTCCAGTATTTGACCTGTCAACTGATAACCTCTCTCAACAGATAATGTATAACCTGTACAGCATTTCCAATATTTTGGTTTTTATTCCATATCTTCTCTTTGCAACTTTGGGGTTGTTATATATCATGGACTTAGCAATAAACACAAACACTCCCAATTCATTAGTTTTAAATGATGCAAATGCAAAAATATTATAAATTTGAGAAAATGTAAAACCTGTGATTTTTCTATCTGATTCTGAGAAAATTTGAGAGTATTTTAGACTGAGTCTATTCAGTGATCTACTTTGTTGTTTTGGAATCTGTACATTTCTGTGTCTATTCAAAATGTAAGCAATTACTGTCGTCTTGCAAAGAAAGGTGTTTGCTGACCTGGGAGTTATTCAAACCTAAACTGTTCAACCCAGACCCATGGTGTGTAGAGGGAGAGATTAGGGCAAGAAATAAAGAAAGCTATTTTGAGTTCACAGCAAAAAAATTTAACCATACGTCCTACCGGCACACGGAACTAGTTGTACCCATCTTAACGTTCCACCATTCCTTCCCCTCTACAGTTCATGACTAGTCGTGTGAACTGGGTGGTGCAGAGTTCGGCTGTGGATTACCTCCATCTGATGTTGGTGTCCATGAGATGGCTGTTTGAGGAGTTCAATATTGATGGTAGATTCTGTATCAGCATTCATGATGAGGTTCGATATTTAGTGACTAGTGAAGACAGATATCGAGCTGCACTGGCACTGCAGATTACTAATCTGCTAACGCGGTAAGAGAATTGCTTTTCCTTCCAGATCTAACTTTTTTTCCCTCCCTTTGTTTTTAGGCAGCTATTCATCAAGCAAAATTAAACTGGTATTTTTGTCACTCACTGCCCAGTGTGGAACTGAAAAACAACAAATTAATTTTTGTTCTTGTGCTTTGTATAATTTGCTCTGTGTTAGGGAGAATATGGATTTGGGAACTATGTCACATTTCCTGGTCTATCTGTTACCCTGTGATCACCTAATTAAGAGAACAAATAAGGACACCAGCATTAAGCCCCCTATTAACTGCTTCCCACCTCTCAATCACATTGAAATATGAAGAATTGACACTTGGGTAACTTGCATATTACCCATGTTCATGGAGCTGCATTTTGAAAGTCAGTGTTTTCAGAACAAAAGTTCGGAAAATATTCAGAGAACTTCATTGTAATGATCAATGGAAAGACTTTGTTTGTAATCTGAATGACGCACTTCAATTATGATGTTTGGAAGATGATCTATGCTAACAATTAACCTTTTTCCCATTTCAAGCTGCATGTTTGCCTACAAACTAGAAATGCAGGATCTCCCGCAGTCAGTAGCATTCTTCAGTGCAGTGGATGTCGACCAATGCCTGAGGAAGGAAGTGACAATGGATTGTCAAACTCCATCGAATGTTTCCGGGCTGCAAAGACGATATGGGATCCCAGAAGGTAAAGTTGTTAGCTGTGTGACAGATTGTGAACTTTGAGCTCCTGCCTGAGAAACTGAATAAAATGTTTCCGATGAAATGAAGAGTTACTGCTGGAAACTTGAGGCAAAACAATACAAATACACAAGAAAGCAGAAAAAAGTTAATGTTTGCATTGTATGTACAATTATTTTGTTGCGATTGGGCAAGTGAGGAACTTTTCAATCATAAATGCTCCCCATGCAGATAGATTTATTTCTCCAAATTTACTTAGATTTTACATTTTAACTGCTGAGAATCTGCAATAACCCATGATGCTTAAAAGCAAAACCGAGGCCATGGTTCATACATGGGACCAGCATAGGTTAGCTTGTATTTTGGTGATACCTGCTCTGAATAGTCATGAAATTAATATTCCAACTTTTAGAAATCCCATATTGTTTTAAAAAAAAGTGTATTGTCAGATTGGAGCACTTTCTTGCTTTCCCAGTTCTGCTTCAGCAACTGTTCACTATATATTTCTCTGTCTAATGTGTCAGTAGATATATTAGCCTAACAATGAAACACTAAGTTGTTTTTCCTCAATACTGAGGTACAAATCTGCCAAATAAATACAAAGCAGATGTGAAATGACACCTCTAGACATCAGACTACAGGTATTCAATGTTAGTGATCTTCAGAACTAAACCATTTTGAGGTAATTTAGCTGAATTTTCCAGAACATGAAAACATTTAACAAAACTAATCTGGACAAAATGTTCACGTCTTGAAACATATTTCTTATAAGAAAATGAAAAAGGGAGGGGTGAAGCAAGAGCGCTGTTGTCAGTTAAAGTTGAACTGTTGTGCATTAGTTACCAGGAAAGAGCATTTACATTTGTGTAAATAGTTGAGAAGAAATTAGAGATTATCTGGGGGGAAAAAATAAGCCAAGCATTGTTAGATCTAGTAGACCTATGAGTTGCTAAAATTTCTTTTGTGTAATTATTTGGTGTGATGTGAGCTTTGACTAACTCATCAACACTCCACACTCATTATTTACAGCCCCTTACGTTGAAAATGTCACACATCCATGTGCTAGACAAATCAACAAATTGGTTTGGCTGTAGGAGGCTTGCAGTTCCTCTGGTCTACAGTGTACAAAAGAATTGACAGGCTTGCACGAACTGCACAGTACCAGATGTTAATTAATTATCAGCTTTTACTCTTTGCTTTAAAAGATTAATGTGGCACCAGTTTAGTCATTATCTTCTGAAGCTTACAAAATATACATCTGTGTTTTTTGGCACCATCTGCAAAACAAAAATGAATCTTATAAAAAGTTCTCCATGCTGGCAAATGGCCCATTTAACACTGACTGCCTCTCAAGGAAAGCTTTTGACAGGTTCTCAAGCAGCAGATTTGATACTGACTACAGCCACATCCAATCTTAATACCCTATCCAAGATGCTAGTTATCCCTAATATGTGACTATCTATCAAACTACCTAAAACTGGAGGGCCACAGTTGGCAGCTCGGATAGGAAGGAGACAGGCAGGATCACAGCAATGATGCCCCTTCTCTCTCGCCCCTCCTTGATTTGGACAGCTTTTCACCATAAACTGATCCGACTGATACAAAGGACAGCATTCTGGTGAATCAGCAGTGATCTATCCCAGCAAGAGTCAGTTCCATCTGGGTGCTAATAACCTCTTTAAAAAATCTTAGTCATCAATACATTAACAGACTCTGACTTTAACTTCCTAACTCTAAGAAATTGAATCCTGAATACAATATTAACTAACAAGTCTTTGAACAAATGTGCTTTTCAGCACATTTTATGAATATCATCATTTTGGTCAACGACAAAAACAAGTTGCTGGAAAAGCTCAGCAGGTCTGGCAGCATCGGTGAAGAGAAAAAACAGTTATCGTTTCGGGTCCGGTGACTTCCTCAGAACGGAGGAAAATGTTAACAAAACGTTAACTCTGATTTTCTCTTCACCGATGCTGCCAGACCTGCTGACCTTTTCCAGCACTACTTCTGTTATTGTTCCTGATTTAGTTCTTTTGGTTTTCATATTACTTTGCTGTCGTTCTAGGGTAAGTTCTGAAGCAAAATAAAGGATGTGTCATTTGGGGTCATTATCATTCCATGTAGCTATCCCATGCCCTTTGAAAGTATGTGGAGTGACTGAGTTGGCTCAGTTGTCAAAATGTTTGTTGACACTTAATAGTACTATACTAATAGTATAGTATGCAAGTGGATGAGATGAGGAAATTAGTAATACCTGAGAAGCTGTGCCTCAGCAGGTAACAGTGCCTTTAGCAGATCTTGTGGAGTGCACATAAAGGGATCTTTTCCTGTAGCTGTTGACACCATAATCCAAGTACTCAAGCCAATGCAAACAGTTGTTTGAAATTTTTTTCATAAAAGCAAGAAATGTCACATTCAGAGTCCTAGCAAATGAAAGATCAAGGAATTAGCTTCCCTGATCTGGATAAGTTCCAGTATGCTTGATTTGAACATGTTTATTAATGAAACACAATGCCTAGCACTTTGGAAAAGCAAAAATTAAAGTTGTCACTATTTTAATAATTATTATGCGTTTTTACAAGCTTTATAATTTATATTTATTGTTCCTTCAGGAGAAGCACTAGACATTTATCAAATTATTGAAAAAACAAATGGATCTCTTGTCAAACGGAAACAGACACAAAACAGGAAACAGGCACAGAGAGACAACCTCAGGGAAGCAGCAAGACAACTACCCAATTAACAGTGTTCATGAGTGTTTTATCTCCTTCGGGCGCAACTTGTACAAATTGATGGAGCTTCATGAGAACATCTTGATAATCCCATAAAATCAGGAGGGGAAGTACTTATGTAAGCATAGCAGAGCTGCACTGAAAACCTGGAGATGGAGGATGACGTTTTGAATAGATAAGATCCTGCAATGGGTGTAAATTCAGATGGGACATGTACATTTACTGGACATGGATGCTGCCCTTGCTGTTACAGTTTCATCTTTTTCTTTTTTTCTTCTTTGGTTCTCTGTTTTCTTGGTTTTCATCCATTGTGACACTTGACTACAGAATGAGTAAAAAAGTTCTGGTGAATTTATTGTACAACATACAAGCCTCTATTTTAAATATATTTGCTTCATTTAACACAGAATTTCAGTAATGTTGCAAGACTACTTCTCTCTTTCCTGTGCTGTAATTGCTATAATTCTATCAGTATGAGCTACGGCCAACCACTTGGCAAATCAACATGATCATTTCCTAGTGATTATTCATGGGTCAGGGATTAGCACCATTGGGTAGCAGTAATAGCTGGGTGTATTTTAAAGTCTCTTAGGATGAGAATGCTACTTGGCACAGCTTTCACTATAATTGTGTGCTCCTTAGGCATTGCAGACACTCCTCATTACCTCTCACCAATCAGAAGGGAGTTGACTTGCCTTACTCTAAGCGTTGAGTTCAGATTCCTTTTCACTCCTACTGTGTGGAATTGCTGATATTAATACAAAATCCTGTTTGTGGTTTAATCACTTCAGATGGAACCATCTGCGCATGTTTTCAAAATTTCCTTTTAGAACACATGATAGCAGTAACCATTGTCTGCCACACTTATCCCTCATTTATTAAACTAAACATTTATATAGATTGACAGACGACATTGCATGTTGGTTAGTCAACATGTTAAATAAAGTTAGTGAGAGACTGTTGAAAGTAAAATTGCTGCTTATGTTTAAAATAGACCTGTACCTTTTCATATGAAAGTTATTTAATAGGAACAAATATCATAGCAAGAAGGGATTCATTACTTGACATTGGCCCTGTTTTGCGGCCCCATGTGCCTAGCCTCCATTTACTGATCTCCCAGATGGGATTCATTTGCCCTTTTTTTTCGCTCCCCAGCATTTTCTAAAAAAAAACATTAGTACCGTTACAGTTCTCTCAACTCCCATAAAAGACTGCAGTGAAATAACTGTTCTTGTACTTCCTTCCACAGGGGGTGAGTAGTAGAGGAAAGTATTCACATCAAAATTAACGCAGCATGAGAATTGCAGGTGCAGGTCTGTACCCTCCCTCAGTGTTGCCAATTACAGCAATTGAGAGCAATCTTTGAACAAAACAGTCAGACTATGGTGTACTAGAGTGTTACAGTTCATGGAGTCCAGGTTGATGTGGCAACATGTATACTATAGTCTGGAGACTCCAACTTTATTTCCATCACACAGCGAATTAGAAATTTGCTCGTTGTTGATCAACCTGTTTGGCTGTTCTTTGAACAGACCTGCCCTGGCCACAAATACTGCAATAAGACGCTAACGCTGACCTTCTGGCTGTGAGACAGGGATTTTACCCACTGCACCTCCACTTGAGACTACAACCTTCAACAAAATTTTGATGAGTATTGCTGAAGTAATACAACCTTACAGCATAAATGAAAGTACTTTTCCATCTTTACCTGCTCATTTGCTTCATCCTGGATTTCCTCTGCTTCTTGTTCCTGGAGTGCTGCATCCAACGTGGCTGCATTAATTCTAAAATCCCTTGATGTACTGAGTTTCATGTACTGCATCAAATTCACCTATGAGGAAATAAGTCTTGCTAGATTGTCAATGTGCAGAACACCAACTGTTGTAGGTTTACGAAATTGACTTAAATAAAAGGTAAACACAAATTAAATTGCAGTATCAGATACAGAGAAGCACAGATTCAAACTAGTTAAACAATATTAGAAGATTTATATAAAAATTCTTATCTCAGGGTAACCAATGCAGAACAGAAGCCATGTAGTCATTTGAGTGACTGGCCAGTGAGGATGGGAAACAGGCAGGAACAAAATGAACAAATTCTGCTTTCTGGAAGGATTGGCCAAGAGGGGCGAAATGGCCCTCATCAGTAGTATCTAGTTTAAAAGCAAATAACCAGTTTAGCTAATCTAAGCTATTTTTGAATTGTAAAATACATTAACGTGGGACATGGTGCACTAGGCATCAAGTGGAAAATATAGACCTATAAGTTGGTCAATAATTTGGAATATTGAAACTATTCAATGAGTAGTAGAAATATAAAACACCCTGACTTGGATTTAAGTGCCAGGATTTTTGCAAGTTTTTCCACAGCTTTTGGTGAGTTAAGAGGAGAAAGGATATTACTGCCTGTGAAAGGTTATAGGGGAAAGCAACATGTTTCAGAAATATAATAGATAAGGTGTCACAGAAGTTAGATTTGTTTGAAATATAAAAGATGTTTCCAAGATAATAAGCACGTTGGCAAAACTGATTCAGTCAAATTGTTCAGTAAGAAAAAGCTCAGAACTATGGAACTATGTCGAGTTTGGAATAAGAAATATCAGAAACTTTTTATATCTACAAGATAACCAAGCTATGGAATAAATGACCTGGAATGATTAATGAAATAAGTAAGTGGGATCAAGGCAAGGCAATTTTTCTTTTGTGTTTCTGGAGGGACAAAGAATTGAAGGGTGTAGGAATTGATCTAAATTTGGAAATTAGGATCGCTTTTAAAAGTTATTTCCTGTGCAGCATGAGATCTTAGTTGCTTTTCACAAACAAACAAAACAAAAGAAATGATGTTTCATTAGGTGACTTCAAAGAACTATATGGCAGTTTATGTACCCTATTATAAATGCAATGTGTAGGAAAATGGAAGTTTTGTTCCCAAAATAAATGGAAACTAACCTTTGGATGAAGGCAGACAAGGGGAAATGGTTATCCTGACATTGTGAGTAACTGTTCCCGTCCACTGGCTAGGAAGATTCAAATGAGTAACAGACGCAGTGTAAACTTTCAGCATCTAGAAATAGGATATATGAACAAACGTGATGGGTTCGGGGACAGTCCTCATCAGGGAGCTGATAGAAAATGGACCAGAAGAGTTTGAGAGGTGAAGACCCAAGGAAGAGTTCTCTAACATTTCATTTAGAGAGCAGGATATTGTATTCACAACTTTAATGAGATTGGTACACTTTGTGCAACTGCCTATTCATCCTCAATTGTCATGGGTTGTATATACTTCTTGTCTAATTAATTAATGTATCATCTAAATTGTGACTTAACAAATTTTATCTAAAAATGCCACAAGAATGGCTGACTGCCTATATTAGATGACTATGGTATTGAATCCCCAAAACTGAAAGAGACATTGTGGATAGGATTATAAAGGAGATGAACTGTTTTTGTTTCCTTTGGTGTCTTTAGTTTCCTTACATTCAGATTAAAAGAAAATAAAATGCAAATTGGTGCTATTTCCCCTACAGACATAGGAGAGCAGCCACTTACCTTTGATTTCTTGGTTAGGTGAATCAGAAATTTCTCGTACTGCTCAATGGCGAATACCAGGTTGGGTATTGGCTTGGTTTCACGAAGCACTCGGGCCTGCACATAGAACAGTAGAAATGTAAACTGTTGTCAGCCCAAATGACTACATGCAGCAACTCAATGTTGCAGAGTGATGATTACACCACATCCTTTGGTTATAAGTTGCAAGTTTATTTCACAGTTAGTCATATTTTGTATATGGAAAAGTCCTTCAAGCCAAAACTGATTTATTTTGCAGACACGGTCATATGCTCCTTAGAGCAAGTGCAAATGCCACAGTACAGAGATTGGGGGTCACTTAGCTCAGTTGGCTGGATGGCCTGTTTACAATGCAGAGTGAAGCTAACGGTGTGGGTTCAATTCCAACACTGGCTGGAGGTTACCATGAGGGAGTTTCCTCAACTTTTGCCCTTTAAGTCATGGTGACCTTCAGCTGAAACCACTACTCTCTATCATGAGAAAGTAACCCTATGGTTTGATAGTGCTAAGGTGATTTTACCTTTACTTTTACAAAGCTAGACTATGTTCAATGAGTTCATGTACCGTTGCTGCGGTGATGGCTGCCATCTCCTTCTTCTTGTCTTTTTTCTTTTCTGCTCCTCCTCCAAAGTTCACCGTCTCACTCTGAATATTCTGTTCCGAAAGCTCAGAATTAGAATGGCCGACAACTTGTTGCTTCCCCTGCCCAGCCCCCAATGCAGTAACAACATACTCCCAAAGTTACAAGTGCTACAAACTAATGCTAAATTATTAAAATAAGTTGTAGCAGGGCACTTGGATAACTTCAAGGTAATCGGGCAGAGTCAACATGGTTTTATCAAAGGGAAATCAAAACTTAACACATCTGTAGGAGTTCATTGAGGAAGTAACATGTTGTGGATAAAATTAAATCAGTGTATGTACTGTACTTGGATTCACTGAAGATTTTGATAAAGATTAATGCAGAAAATAAAAGCTCATGATGTTCAGGGTAGCATACTGGCTTGGACAGAAGATTGGCTGGTTAACAAAAAGCAAAGAGAAGGCATAAATGGGTCATTTTCAGGTTGGCAAGATAAAACAAGTGGTGTGCCACAGAGATTGGTGCAGAAAACTTAATGTTTTATAATTTATTCAAATGAACTTGGATGAAGGGACCAGAGGTATGGTTACCAAATTTGATGATCATACAAAGATAGGTGGGAAAGGAAGTTGTGACTAAGGAGGCTACAGTTAAATATGGATACTTTTAAGTGAGTGGGCAAGGATGTGGCAAATGGAGAATAATGTGGAAAAATGTGAAATTGCTCATTTTGGCAGGAAGAATAAAAAAAAAGTTTATTATTTAAATGGTGAGAGATAGCAGATGTCTAAGATACAGAGGGATCTGGGTGTCTTCATATATGCATCACAAAAGGCTAGTATCTAAGTACAGCAAGTAACTAGGAAACCTAACAATGTTACCATCATAAGAGTAATTGAATATAAAAAGTGAGGTTATGCTTCAGTTATACACAGAACACTGGAATACTACATCTTGACATTATTTAAAGGAAGGAGGTGTTGAAAGCAGTTCAGACAAGGTTGCCAAACTAAGACCTAGAATGAACAAGTTATCTTATGAGGAATGGTTGGAACAGGTTAGGCTTGTAGCTGATGGAGTTTAGATGATTAAGAGATGACTTCATTGAAACCTATAAGATTCTGAGGGGTCTTGAAAGAGTACTTGTGTAAGGGATGTCTCCTCTTATGAACAAATCAAGAACTAAGGAGTCACTGTTTTAAAAATCATCTGTCTCAAGTGGGCCACACTCAAGAAGCAAAGAATTTTGTCTGAGTCATGGGTCATTAGAACTCTGATTTCACCACATTTTCAGAAAGAGTCCAAGGATTTTTTTTAAGGCAGAGGTGGATAGATTCTTAAGCAAGGGGATGAAAGTTTTATTATGAGTTGGCAGGAATGCATGTTTGAGGTTATATTCGCATCAGCCACGATGTTATTGAATGATGGAACAGGATCAAGGGCCAATTAGTCTACTCCCTGTGTACATGTTTGGAAATCTTAGCGATTTGAAACCTTTTGGGGGCAAAACCCTTGAAGTAACAGCAGATACTTGAAACAACAAATTCATAACTAAATTTACAGGTCATTTTCAATAATAACTTCTAAAGTAAAAGAGCCCGCAATTTGATCATATCTTGTTACAAAGTTGGGTGGAGTAATTGTGAGGTGGAAGTCAAGAAGCTAAAATGTGTGGCTCCTTTAAGAGATTTGTGCTTTGTCTGTACATGGAAATTTTTAAAATGTATGTCTGTGAGCAGCTGCTGAAGTTGCCAGTACAGACAGCCTCAAAAAGTGAAACAAGTGTATATCAAAAAGAAAAAATGCCTTACAGGTGGCAGGCAAGATAGCAGTCTTGTTTTGATCTTGTAACGAGTTTGAATTTGGCCAATTAATTTAAACGAAGCAGCCAGAAACAGCCCACAAAAACAAAGTTTCTGGAAAAGCTCAGCAGGTCTGGCAGCATCTGTGAAGGAAAAAACAGAGTTAACGTTTCGGGTCCGGTGACCCTTCCTCAGAACCCACCAATAAACACCAGACCCGAAACGTTAACTCTGGCAAC